TGCAATTATACCTATAATAAATTATTATACTAATACTACCTGTGACATCGTCCTTTGTAAATAGAGATATATTTACTCATATACCTATTGGTCAGTTTTCATAACCTTCACTATATATTGGAACGCATAGAATAGAAAGCTGAAGCTAAATTAGAGACCAAATGGTCTGAAACTTAGTTTTATGAAATCTAGCTGTTCTTTCTAAGTATATTATACGATTATATAGACATAGTGTTACATGTGTCTGGTGGCATAGCATTCTTAACTAAAGATCGTAGCTTCGAATCCCGTGGTGGGCATAAATAATAATAAAAAGCTTATACGATTGATAACATAGCAAGTGTTATATTAATAAGTACCTATCCTTAACCTAAGATCTGAAGATATTTATTATTTCATACTCTGGCAGCCTATTTCGATATTTTTACATTATTATTATTAACATAATTTTCTTTCAAATAACGATAAATGATTAAATTGTTAACAAAAATATAGCTGCAGTTAGTTAAAGCTTAAAGTTTATATTTTTAATTATTCATGGTTTGAATATTACATTATCAATTAAATTTCATTTTGATATTTGTAGAAATCTGCTGCTTGTAGCCTACGTACCTCCTCTACGCCGCGCCATAGGAAATAACATTTCGTATTAAAAACAGTAAACTATAACAACAAAATAATACAATTAATTACATAATCTATACTAATATTATAAAGAGGAAACATTTGGTTGTCTGTTTGTTTGCACCGAATAGGCTCCGAAACTACTGAACCGATTTAGATGAAATTTGGTAAGAAAATAGTTTGAGACCTTGGGAAGGACATAGGATAGTTTTTTCTCGGAAATCATCCCTTATGGGGGTGAAAATGGGGATTAAAAGTTTTTATGGGGAAGCAACCTAGGTACGAACCCGAGCGAAGCGAGAGTGAGTCGCTAGTGAAAAATAAATTTCAAAGCATTTATGTATTTGTTTTGTAAAATATATTCGAATAATTTGGTCAAATGTACATTTACCATGATAGTTAAGACGTACATGTAAATTGTGTATGCTTTAACGGTGGCTATTGAGCCAGTAATTGTTTAGAGGCTAACCTAACAGTTTCACAACTAGTTTACAAGTCTGTAGGAAATATTGCTAGTGTAAACCTATGAGACGGATATTACGTGATAAACAGTATTTAATTGCTGTAATAAAAATATAGAAAAAGGTAGTAGTAGCCCAGTGGTAACGTGATTTCTTAGTAAACCTAGGTTCAAATCCCGAGTCTCGCAACTTTGATATTTTCATGAGCGAATCATTTCCAACATGATTACCACTTGTCTTACGGTGAAGGAAAATATAGTGAGGAAACCTACATGTCTGAGAGAACATAACAAGTTTTCTAAAGACATGGGAATTCTGCCAACTCGCACTTAGCCAGCATGGTGGACTATGGCCTGATCCCCCTCGTATTGAAGGGAGGCTCGCACCTAGCAGTGGGACGTTAAAAAGGACTACATACATATATTTATGTACATACATAAAAATATTCATAATCTATCCACGCGTTTGAATGTTATTTCGTTTCCTATTATTTCTATAAGAAAATATATAATTTAGGTATTATATATATTATTATAGTGTTTGTTATAGTTACAGTTTATGCGCAACTTAAACGCGCTCGAGTGAAGTTGGCGTATTGAAATTGCGCAGGTACTCGTAATATCGAGTGCAAAAATATTAATGTCATTTTTTAAAAACATAATTCATTTTCTTAGATTTACGCGAATATTTAACATTTTAAATAAAACAATTTATTCACGGATTTATTTTGATTTTTGATTCCTGAAGTAGATAGAGTAAATATAGTATAATAAAGTTTAATAAGATAAATTCTTAGAATCAAGTTCGTTAGACAAGTAGATTTTCTACAAACGATATCGCTAATAGAAAACTAATAAAACTAAGAAAATACACAATAGACTGCACTATTATGAGTCTATTTTCAGTTAATTCGGAACTCGGTTTTTCTTAAGATTTACCAAACGATAGTTAGTACCTATATAAGATGCTATCTATACATATATTAAAATTGTAACTAAGCCAAATTTATACATTAAATATTTTTTGGAAAATCTTATTGAAATAAACAATATTATCGATACAGAGGCCGAATCTATAGTTTTTAGAATTTTTTCTGTCTGTCTGTTTCCGCATCACAGAAAAACCACTGGAGGGATTTTGATGAAATTTGATATGGTGATAGCTGGTTATCCGGGTCAACATATAGGATACTTTTTCTGCGGGATAATGTCTCATTTCTGAGAAAAAATACGAAAACTGCAATGGAAGAGTATATTAATATGTAAAACCTAAGAATTTGGTTTTTGGTCATGGTTTTGGCGGGCGGAGCCGCGGGCAATGCTAGTAAAATATAGTTTTTGAATAATTGATGGCAAGACGTTTGTATATTCATTTGTGAATAAGTAGGTTGTAAAATATGCGAGTGCAAACAAGCAGCATACATCAAACATCATTGCCTAAGTTAGAATAACGATGCAATATATTCCAAGAAATTATTTATCGACAAACCTACCGAATGAATTATTAACAAATATTTGCATAATTTTATGTAATTTGAACCGTACGAAGGCTCTACTCGCTCTCGCAGAAGTTTTAAGAAAAAAGAGAAAAAAAAATAAAAAAAACGTATTTAATCTCGCAACTCCTCTTATCTATATCCGGCTATAACCACTTGGCATTAGGTTATAGCCGGATATCTGTTAGTTTCGGTGTCCCTCAGGGAAGTGTTCTTGGTCCTACTCTCTTTCTTATTTACATAAATGAGCTCTGCATGCTGCGACTACCTAATAGTAAACTTTTAGTCTACGCAGATGACACTGTACTTCTTACTAGCGGTAAAACATGGGCAGAAGCTCAGGCTTCCACAGAATTATCGCTAAGAGCTATTATAAGTTGGCTTGGTTGCAATCTGCTCACTCTTAATGTGGATAAGACAAAATACCTTACCTTAGCTCCCTCTACTCTAGTACAGGCTCGGCCTTGTTTGACAATTCGTGCACACGTCTGTTCACTGACTATTAAAGAGTGTAACTGTCCCGTGTTAGAAAAAAGTTCCAGTGTTAAATATCTTGGCGTCATAATTGATAGCAATATGACATGGAGACAGCAAATCCATTCAGTAGCGTTGCGACTAAGAAAGCTCATATTTATTTTCAGGAAATTAAGGAATGTGGTAGATTTTCAATGTCAAAAAACAGTATATTATGCTCTGTGTCAATCCGTTATTTCATACTGCATTACGTGTTGGGGTGGATCTGCTAAAACGTTAATGTTGAGACTGGAAAGAGCCCAGAGAGCAGTTTTAAAAGTTATGTTCAATAAGCCAATCTATTTCCCCACGGCGGATTTATACGCTCTTAGTAATGTATTATCCGTAAGGAAATTTTTTGTTTTACAAACTGTTCTTCGAAAACACTCTGAGCTTCCTTATAACCCTAGTATATTATGTACTAAACGCAGATCCCACGCTATATGTCAAATTAATTCTGCAAGAACCGCGGTTGCAAAACGTCATTACCCATATCTAAGCTGTTTACTCTACAATAAGATCAATAAATTATTGAATATATATCCACTCACATCTTATCGTTGCAAATCTGTATGTTTAGCATGGCTTAAATCCATTACGTATGACGAGACTGAAGAACTTTTGACCATTGTTTATTAAAGAATTTGCATTCACACACACATATACACACACATACACATACACACACATTCACACACACACACTCACACATACATCATCATCATTTATTGTTTTTTAGTTTTTATAAAATACTTAGTTGAAATATTGTACGGAGGCGGGCGTTGATATCTGCAACGCAGTTTATACTTTTGCAGTATCATCGTAGCCATTGTTGTTTACTGTATACTTATAGGAATTTGATACTAAATAAATAAATTTCATTTCATTTCATTAGGTGGATGGATCAACGTCCCAATTTTTTCCTTTTATCCATAAAAAATATATTAAATTGCTGAAATGCAAATACACGTATACACATGTATAGTGTATACATTGATATTATATAGATAAAAAATAATAACATGAAGCCTACTAAGAAACTATGTTATAACGAATTATGTGATAAGCGTGGAACGTTAGTCATAAAACATCTGGAAGGTCCGCAATATTTTTACAAAGTAAACTAGTAGACAAATTTTTTAACGTTAGCTTATTTATCTATATATAAATTACATATACACTACGATGAGTTTTATATTCCTTAGCTAAGAAATGATTGAATCTCCATACAAACTTCCACCGCCCTTTTCACCCCCTTAAAGGGTAATTTCCAGGATAAAAACTATCCTATGTCCTTCTCAGGGTCTTAAAATATTTACATACCAAATTTCATCTAAATCGGTTCAGAGGTTTAAGCGTGAACAGATAACAGACTGATAGAGTTACTTTCGCATTTACTTTTGTTGCCTGTGGTTAAGTCTATGTGTGTATTTCTCTTTCGTGATTATTGGTTTATGCATTATATATGACCACGATTTGGTGATGGCAAAGACAATTCAACCTTGTATTGTCTGTGGGTGATGGAAAACAAGGATAATAAGTTATAACTTATATACTATAGTATTAATTTTACTTGACCAATTGAAACAAAAGAAAACTTTGACGACAAGTTTGACTCAGTTTGCAATGACTCAACTTGCTATGCTGGCGCGGGCGGGTTCGAGTCCCGCTGGCGGCATTCATTTGTGTGATGAGCACGAATTTTTGTACTCCAGTCATAGGTGTTTATATTTATAATATGCATGTACTTAAAGCTATATATGTGTAGTGTATCCACTATCTGGTATCCATAACACAAGCAAGATTATTACTTCATCCTGCGGGGTATTCCACAAAAGTTCCACTTTCACTTTAAATATTTTATCCGTAGATGACTGTAAGAATCTCATATGATTTTTTTTCTCCAGCCTCCCCCAATACCGGGCATGCGACCACCACTAGGATCCCCCGGAGGACCGGTCCCGGCACCCAAGTCGTCCATGGGATTTGTCATGCCTATATACACCATATGCATCATCGTGTTTTTCGTGTATACTTTGAGCAAGGTAAGTAAAATATAAAGATAAATATTTATTTTGCCAATTCTTTTCTGGACTGCGATATTTTTTTTCCTAATTGGTCGTAAAGTCTAAGATAAGTGTCACTACAGTTACGCTAATAAACATTGTTTATTTTTTTAAGTATCAGGTTTTTTAATGCACATGTTGTCTATAGAGAAAGATGTATCAAGATAAAAAAAACATATAGATAGGTACATGCCTAACATTAGTTATCCATTTTTTTATTTTTTTTATCTTGGGAAATGAATTTATGCATACTACCTGTATACATACAGGTAGTTATATGAGACTCATCTTCTAGAAAGCCTACTGGCTTTGCAACCGACCACAAGCAAGCGGACCACACAACCAAGGTTGAAAACTTGAAGCAGAGTGAACCTCGGTTCAGAGAAGTACCAGGAGCAACCCGCCCTCTCTTGGCTTCACGCGAGGCTTTATTTTTTTTTAAGATTATTTTATTTTATTTTCAAGATTATTTTTTAACATTTCGTTTATAGATTCTATTTAAGCGCACCGGTTCGCCCTACGACCACGTCGCCCCCGACCCTCAGTTCCGCAGGCGAGTCTTCAGGGATGATTCGAGGACTTCACCAGATAAATTGGGTAAGATTTTTTTTATAATGACAATTTTATCTTTAACTAGCGACGTAGCTACGTTATAGGTTAAAATGGATATAGTATTTTATTCTTAAGAGATAGACATATGCCATCGCGGACTTTTCTGTAAACTTATATAAGATACACAATTCCACCATACATTATTTTGAGATGTCTCTATTTTTTCATGACAATGACAGTGACGTCGTCATAAGATGACGTCAGAGTCACTCATCTACCTCTTTTTATTATATAAGCTTCGATCAACAGTAGTATTTTTGGTCGAAGTATATATGAATAAAAATAAAATTACCTAAGGGTTGGATTCGATTTGGTTTTTTTAGTATTCGTTAGTCCAAATAAGATTTTTAGAATAAAAAAAGAAGGAAAATGCCCAGAAAATTGGGTTTTTGGGAAAAGACTGAATATAATTTAACTGTACGATTTTTGCATGTACTTAAAGATCATAAACAAATTCTTTGATACTTGGACATGGTAAGTAATTTCTTTCGTGTTAGGTAGAAGGGGTATAAGTTAGATATGTGATAAAAGAAAGTATCTAATGGAGGAATGACAAATAACAACACGTATTCGAAAGCGGTTCTAGACAAGGAAGTTTTGCTACCATTTTTATTTAATTTAAGGAAATTGTACAAAGTTGTTGATATGTATATAAAATACTCTAAAAATCTGCTCCTGTAATATTTTTCAAAGAATATTATTTAATACTTTCTTAGATTTACGCGAATATTTTAACATTTTAAATAAAACTATCTTTTCGGATTATTTCGCGGATTTATTGTGATTTTTGGTTTCCGACGTTTCGAATGCAAACTTCGTAACAAGCTTTTCTGTAATAAGTGTATAACGCCTTTGGGACGTCTATAACCTTAGTCTCTTCCGTGACTATGATTGCTGTAAAGCATTCGAAACGTCGGGAACCAAAAATCGTAATGAATCTGCGAAATATCCGAAAAGATAGTTTTATTTAGAATATTATTTACATATGGCACATACAATATTTTACGTGGTAGTAATAATTTTTCATTTATTCATTTCGTATACTATATTATAAAAAATAAATTATCTGCATTGGGTAATTAACTATTAAGTAAATAAATATTTTAGGCTTCAATTAAAATTTACAATGTTATTCTCACCCATCGCATGCAGGACATAAAGAAACGGACACAAGTAAGTATAAAAATAATTACGATTATAATTAGGTCCATACATATGAAATAAAATAGTGGGGTAAACTAGATAAGACTAATTAGTTAAAGGAAAAAAATGTTAGTTATTGATAAGCTTCCACGTAATATTTATAATATATTAAATATTTTACAATATCACTTGGCTGTTCTTTCACAGCTAAAAAATGCAAAGCAGTAAACTTTCAGGTCTTTTTTAGGAATTTTACTATATAGTGTTTTGTTGTGTGTTAATTGCTTTCAAAATCGTCCATCTATCTCGGGGTAAATGGAGAAACGGTAGTATTTACGGTTCTCAAACGATTATAGAAATGTATATTCGATCGCGCCTACTTACTTTTGCTCTAGCCGAGTCAAGAGCATCTTAGCTGTTTTTTGCCAAACACTTTCGCTTAGTAGGATCAATCCCGCGACCTTTATTGCAGTATACAGGTACTACAAAACTACAATAACATGTTCAAATCGATGAAGTACCGCTGATTCCATGAACTAGGCTTTATTACACTTCTTAATACGAATTTCTTGTTCATCTCAAATTTAGTCAAAACCTGATTTTTTTAAATAAATTATTTAATATTTATTATAATAAATTATTAAATATTTATTATAATAAATTATTAAATATATATTTATCAGACTCATGACATATAACAATTTTTTTTAATTTAGGCTTATAGTTTGGTTACGCAAGTCACATCGACTTTCTGGCCCTTTCCCTTTTTGATGATCATCAATATTTATAGTAGAGTTATTTCTTCTCTCCCCTAGGAGAGAAGAAACCCTACAGTTACTTAAATGGCTAGGATATAATCAATCGTAACGAACTTCCTTTGACTAAAATATAGACATGTTGTGACTGCATAAAATCTCAATAACATTTTAATAGTGATAGATAGTGTGTTGTAGTCTAGGGGACAGTTTTAAATGATATGTTTTGATGGGATGTAACACACTGGATACATAATCCAGGGGACGCAGAGCTCGCCGCATTGAAGGCGCGGCTGGCGGAAACGGAACGCGCAATGCAAAGGATCGTTGGACAACTAGCGAGGCGCGACGCGGTATATTGCTAACTTACCAGAATTTGCGATTTGATATCTCGTTTAGTATTTATTTGTTTATTTTAATGTTGTGATCATCCCGTAGTATATGGAAATAAATGTGTTAAATCGGAATGCCTTTATAACTATCCGATCGCATTGTTAGACATAACAATTTTTCAAAAGTTTTTGATGATTTGAAATTTAATTATTTTGATATTTAGCAGTTTCAGATTCATATCTGAAAATCAATGAATAAGCGACAACCAAACAAAAGAACTGTTGGTAATATAAATTAAGTTAAGCTATAAGTTGGACTAGATCGAGCTCAGGCGTAGTAAATATTCCAACGTAAATATATTTATTTAAAAACTATAAATATAATGTACTAAAATTAATTATATTGTAAATTACGTACTTTTTATGTTTTCTCCTTATGTTTATAATTGAGATATCAAATCGCAACTATAATGGTACATATTTAGATTCCTGTTCTTTCACACTTATGACCAAAGGAAGAGCTAGATTTAATATTATAGTGTCAAATAATATTGCGTGTATCCATAGGTGTTTAATATATTCGCTTGCGGCATGGTGACCATTTTATTTGGTTTTTGTGTTCGGTAGCTAGTAACGGAATTTACAATGTTAAAAAAAGAGAAATAAAAGTCCACTGAAACACAGAATTTGAATTTGCACAAAGAGAATGCAGCTATAGCAATTTTAGTTGTATGTTCTGTTACGACGTTTGAAGATTTTGATATTTTAGGAATCTAAAAAGATACTAGGTAGCTTCACTACAAGAAATTTTAAATTATTAATTCTGAGTTCATCAAATAAAAAAAGTTCAAAATAAATATTTAGAAATATTCAAACCGATACTAATAAATATAAAAAAAAATTATAATCGTATTTGAATCTGCGAATTAATGCCAAAATCGTATGCAGCGGTAAATTTTAAAATAATTTATTATATTGTAGCAAATGCTATCATGAGCCTCGACTACGCTTTGGCGATCATCCAGAATGCATGCACGATCGAACAAGCTATTTTCGTCTTTACGTCCTTCGTTATTTGTTTGTAAAAGTATATTTTCGTATACCATTTTGGTCATTATATAATCTTTATTTACTTTTAAATATCTACATTTTAATTACAATGTTTAAATTTGAATTTGTATAAAAATGCGAAGCATGAAAAAGCAGTATTGAAAGTAATACTTTTGAAATGTACAATTGTGACTGGTCGTAACAATATTGCAATAATTATAATCAATAAAATAAAAAGTAATCCACAATTATTATAAAAATAGTCCAAGGACTCTGATTATGTAGCAAGTGACATGGCTTCTTATAGAGGGGATATACAAAGAGAACATTACAAATTTAATAGATTCTTACATTATTAAATATAACGGAAGTGGTAAATTTATTGGATTTGTTTGCTTCCCTTTTCCCAAAACAAATTTCATAAAATAAAACACAAATTGTCACTAATTTCCAAGTTTTTCTAATATAAAATGAGTTTTACCAGTTATCACTTATAACAGCATTATTTTTGTATAAACAATGTATATGATTTGGCTTTTTATCCAACAAGTAATCTTTATAAAGCCGTTGCCCAAGGAAGAAAGTTCAAATTATGTTTTTAAATTGTAAATTACATAAATGCTTACTTTATAAATCTTGATGAACCTTAATCTCCGATATAAAGAACAAAAATGCTAATCAATTCTGACTTCCTCAACTCGAGTCCCAAATATAATACGCTATTTGAGAGTAAATATTAATACAAATTTGTCGGCCGACAGTTGTATCGGCAATATCTGGTCTGGTAGCGGAGGTTCAACAGCAGATGGAGGCGAGCTACAACCAAAATCAGCAACGACAGGTCTTTGCATGATCACCTCATACGAGAATGCTCATAGCTTCATCATTTATAATGTCTTGATTGAGTATGTAACGTCACGTTACTGTACAATATTGAAAAACTAGTTTATTTTCAGATATACGCATATACGCTGCTTTCTTTATTTTATAAATAATGATAATTGAGATGACTTATAATTATTTTTGTTCTAATTATATCAGAAATTATGTTTTATAACAAATGAATTTTATAGTACAAAATTCTGATGTATAAATAAATATCTAAATTAAGCAAAAGAATCAGACCGCCTCCGAGCCATGATGTAATTTCATGTATATTTTCAATAGTTTAATTTTCTCTACGTGGCGCTTTGTATTTAAAAAAATAATCAAATGTTCATCTTTCAGATTATGATTTATTTTCTTTTTTTTATTTTCCTCTATTTTATTTCTCTCCGTATTGGTCTTGTTATAATTTCCTCATAATCATGCATTACCACTAAAACTGACCATTTTTTCACAATTGCTGTTTATTTCAATATCCAAAATTAACTTTGAACCACGAGCAATGCGCTTGGCACAGTAAATCCGAATTTAAAGGGAATGCCTTAAAATATCTTTGGCACTATATATACACTATACTACTATAAGTGTCGTAGAACATTAATTATTTGTTCAATTGTTTCATTTCTATTATTGCATTGTTTTTTTTTGTTTCTTGCATTTACCCTTTTTTCATGTCGTCCGCTGCATTCATCTGTCTGTTTGTTCCAAGCTACCTGTACCTTACGCTTAAGGATATGCTAAACGGTGTTACATCACTAAATTTTCAACTAATTATGCAAAATTATAATCGCAAATTCTATAATAACACAATCCTACAAAACTAAACACAATAAACCCATAAAAATCTACATAACAATCATTCCATAAAACGAGCCCAGGATTTATTTACATGTGGACAAAAAAATGTATAGAAGTAAACAGTGTTCATTTAGTTTTGTTTTAGTTTTTTGCAGATTTGGCTGTTTTGGTAGAATTTCTGTTTATGTATATAGAACAATTTTTGAACACTCCCAAGTGTGTCTTGCTTGCGTATATTGTAATATAGCAAAGTAGATGATTTGTTTGTGTAGGTTTAGACGTGTTGTATTTTTATTCGCTTTGCAGTAATAAACTTATAAATACAATAATTATTTAATATTTATTTCTTATCATAGGAGACGCTGGATAACGCTCGCCCTTACACTAACGGTACAATTCTATTGAATAGCGGCCCTGTTCATATAGTCACTAGCGAATTTCGGGAATCCAAAGAAAAAACTCCTGAACCACAAAAAGAATCCTCACCTGAGAAAATTGAAACTGAACTTGATAAATCCTCTGTAGAAATTAATGAAAGTGTTAAAGAGAAAGAACCGGGACCTATAATTGATGAAGAGAAACCGGCAGGCATAATGGAATTAAATGCACAAGATGAACAAGAAATACTCTCAAAACAAAAAGAAGAAAAGACAGCAGTGGAACTAGATGAAGAAGAATCCACAGAAATGCAAAAAACAGATAACCAAAAAGAGGAAGAGCTGAAAGAAGCTGCAGCAGAAATTGAACAATCGCAATTAATCGAAACAAATGCACAAAACGAAGATGCAATTAAATCAACCGAAAATAAAAATGCCAATACAGAGAATATTAAATTATTTGAAACAGCCAATGAAGATAAAGAAGATCTTCTTGCTAAACTAGCAGAAGAGTTCTTAAATGAAGAACGAAAAGAAGAGCAAAGGCAAAAGGAAACAACGCCAGAACTTCTCGAAGAGGCCATTAAAGAAGATTCACCTGAGGTGGATGATAATGTAGAGGAAAATCAGAGTGTAAAGGTAGGTTTAAGAGCAAGTTCATTTATTTTTAAATTAAGAGTTGACTAAAAATCTTAATAAGTGCCATAAATTTTGAAATCTTTTTGTAATGTACAAGCCAACCAAGCGCCAATTTTGGTGTATTATAGATTAAATACAAAAAATAATAATACCAGAATAACTGGAAAACTCGCGTTAAAGATATCAACCACTGTTCGTTATTATAAAAAAGTCTTATTTATTGATATATGTATGTATAAATATATAATACAAATATATTGTGTAGTGGTACAGACCCCTCGGCACTCGAGTCCACTTGACCCGCACTTTGCCGAATTATTTTAAATAAAGGAAGCCATTCATTTCAGGGTCGTTTCAGGAGGTCATTTAAAACAACTTTTTTGCAAGTGAGTGGCTTTCAACCCGGTCCCATATCCAAGCTCGCAAAACACAATCTTGACTTTGTATTTCATTCCTTTGAGTACACTTGAGTACACGAGTTATATGTCGATCTCTGTATTCCAGCTCTCTGAAGGAAAGAGAGGCTTCTAGAGATGACAAAGTAGGAAAAGCATGGACACTGAACAGTTTTACATAATAGGTCGCCATTTTTTTTTATTAGCCGATATTTTGACTTTTGATCCTGAAACATCAAATATCATCCTTTAATTATGTACGAGTAATTATTTATATATTTTTTTTATAATTAAATTCCTTAGGTAATAGGCATGGAGCTCACCGCGCACCCCGTCGATGGTGGCGCCTACAAGCCGGAGCCGCCGCGTCCGCCGCAAGCCAAGCCGGTGAGCGCACAGATAGTAGTGCACATTGTGCAGACTTTGTATGAGTAATGTAGATTGTAGACTGTAGATTTATGTAGATTGCAGATTGGTGTTGCACAAAATGTCATGTCAAATGTTAATGTAATTTTTTTTTATACTTCTACTTAAGTTTATTGAAAAATCCATTATAAAAGGTGTTACTGTTGCTTATTGGGTATTTCTTTTTTACTTAAAAAGTGTAAATAGTATACTTTAGTAGGTAAGTATGTTAATTTTGAATTGCAAGCCTTTCAAATTATTAAAAAAATATACCTATATTCTTTTTTTAACTTTTTATTGTTTTTAGAAGACATTCAATTAATTCTTATACGCTAAATTGTACTTAAATTATCGTTAAAATAATTTAATAGTACGAGGTCAAAAATAATTTCGTAACAGATGTCATGACATTTTGTGTGTAACGTTAGAAAAAATAACCCTCCTTAGCAACTTTTTATTTTATTAGATATTTCATTGTATTAACCGTATGTAGTCGTAGCAGTAAAAATAACATAAAAAAATTAAAAAAAAAGTATGTTAGCATGTAGTAAACTAGTAACAGATTAAAAAATTAACTTAAATCATAAATATCACATTCCAGTCAATTAAACCTCTTTAGATTAACGCTCAAGTAAATTAAATAAACCATTCAATATTTTTGTGTCGTTTTAACATTTTTATGGAATAAACAACTTTTATAAAACTGTTGTCTTCATTTATATTAACAATCTTTATGTTACTAACATCTTATTTGTTTTAGCTTATAAGATAATTTATAAGAAAATTAGTCGATTTTGATTGAAATTTGAATGTTTGAAAATTAGCTACTTAAATTATTATTTATAGAATCATTAATTATGGTTGGTATGCCTCTGGTAAAATACTTTGTCCAAGATTTAATTAAAACAAATTATGCGGCTGCACAAGTGTTTTCATCAATTCAATTTTCTTGTTAATGCCCTCAAAGCGTGCCAGTTGAGCACAGATTACTTCGCCAATGTCACGTAGAACGGTAGAATGGAGAAGCCGCGAAGGTTGTGTTTCCTTATTTAAATCACACGAAACTGTCAATTTTTATTTTAACCAGTAGGTATATGATGTGGCACACACTTTTGATGATTTAAACCAATTTCTGCAATTAAAGTTATCTTAAATATGGATATTTGACCGGTGACACACCACCCTAACATGGTCAAAGTCAGTGAAAAATGGTCAGAGATGCACCGATTTAAACAAACGTTTTTAGTTTAGCTTTAGTAGAAAATAATCAAATTTTAAATATTTAAATTAATAGTAATAAAATACATATATGGGCGATCGAGTGAAGGACACATTCTTAGCTGTGGTAATTTAGTTCGAATCAAAAGTCATTACTTAGAGCCTAATATTTAATGAAATATTGACAAATAAATAACACAAACAATTCTAAGGTTTTCTGGAAGAGATCGTTTCTAGCGTTAAGGCCTCTTGTGCATCTCTTTTTTTATACACATTACATTTGTATGTATTTCTTGTGTGGTGTTCAATAAAGTCAATCAATCACAATTCCAGCACAAAGCTGAAGATGTGAAGTCAATATACCTCGAGACGGATATCCCGCAGCAGTCGCGCGTGCTCATCTCCAACTTCCAGCAGGACCAGGGCCGCGGCGACGTGAAGCCCGAGCCCAGCGACCGCTCTCCGGTGAGTTTCATTTAAGATTTCGATTATTTCTAGCTCGGGTCTATCCCTAACAGTAGCCTATGTGTTACTCTTCGGTGTCTCGGTGGTTTAGTGGACCGGAGGTTCTGGGTTTGAGTCCCGGGTCGGAACAAGTTTCATTACTGAGTTTTTCTGTTTAGATATTCTCAGTAGTAGCCCGGAGTTGGAAAGTTGGCGGTGTTGCACCCCTCGTGTTAAGGTAGAGCACGGAATTCGTCAGTCCTGCGCCTCGTTGTTTGTCTAATATCTCTTGCAGTTGGCTAGTCTCAGTGAGAATGACCGCCGTGGCCAAAAATCAAATAGTTTTCGTAAGACATGTAAACTCCGTAAACCCACAAGTGCCCAGCAGTGGTACGTTAAAAAAAGGACTATATTATTTATTTATATATTCATTACTAGCGATTCACCCTAGTTTCGCTAGGGTTTGTCCCTAATAAAACAAAAAATCTATCCCATGGGTGTCGTAAATTTTTCCGAGATAAAAAGAAACCTATGTGCTATTTCAGACTATAATCTATCTCTGTGCCAAATTTTATCCAGATCCGTTCATCCGTTCTGGCGTGACTGAGTAACAAAGATCCATCCTTCCAAACTTTCGCATTTATAATATTTATGGGATGATTATTATATACAATTATAATAATTTTATATGTACAGCTGGTGGTGAGCGGTAAGATTACGCTCTCGCTGATACAAGACGCGCCGCGCGACACGCCTGATAGAGACCTAGGTAATGTATTGGGCCATAGAAAACCAAGGAGAGTGGATGTAGCTATTTATTGAAGGAATTCAAAATTCCCAATTTTCATTTGCTACTAACACTACCCACGGCTTCGCCCGCGTTCACACTTATGATCGCTACCAAACTTCACAGGATCACCCGCTGGACTAATCTGAAGATTGCCTGAAAACTTCATCAAAATCGCTCCAGCCGTTTTGAATGAATGAATTTTGTAGTAATCATAGGTTTATATTCCAAAATAATAGTAAAAAAAATCTCTGATGTTTAAATAAAACGTATCTTTTCAGAGTCTCTCCTGTGACGAAACGTCGGGAACCAAAAAATCAAAATAAATCCGCGAAATAATCCGAAAAGATAGTTTTATGTAAAAGTCAAATATTCACGTAGGTCTAAGAAACTTTTATAATTATAATGTTTATAAATATAACAAAATTTTAACTGTCTCTAATCTGTATAATAAATACTTTTTGGAAAATTTTATTGAAATAGTCATTATTCTCGGATACAGAGGCCGAATCTATTGTCTGTCTGTCCGTCTGGGACAGCACTCGAGAAAACCACAGGACAGATTTGGATAAAATTTGGTATGATGATAGCTGTTTAGCCGGGTCAACATATAGGATATTTTTTTACTGCGGGAAAATATCTCATATCTGAGAAATCTATACTAAACGTTAAAACGTATCTAAGGACGAGCCTGTAAGTCGCTAGTTTCTTATAAAAATAAAAATGTCTACGACGAAAAGACTGACTGATAGGCATATTAGAATATATAAGCGAAGACATTCAGTAATAAACAATGATAAAATAATATTTTCAGAATCAACGTTGGACGATTTCACAACAGCGAGCGGTCTGACTCAACCGGCCGCGGAAGTGGGTTCACTTTGTTTTTTAGCTGTATAGTACAAAAAATATAATAAAATATAGGTATATAGGTATTAACTAATAATATTTAAGATTGAGCAAAGCAAGAGTGTGCTACTTGTTTAAAAAATAATTCTTCATTTATTTAAATTCACCTATTATTTTAAATTAATTTAATTTTTTATTGAGTGGATTAAGTTCGAGAATTTAATTTAAAATATGTTCTTGTAAATCTTATTGACGACACGTTTGGCTCCGTTTGTATTGAGTAGTGACTAATGACCCTACTTGTTGTGCCAGCGGTCGCGGGTTCGAGTCCCGCTGGAGGCATTCATTTTTGTGAGTATCACGAATGTTTGTATTCTAGTCATCGGTGTTTATATTTAAAATGTGTATGTATTTAAAAGTTATATATGTGTAGTGTATCAACTATCTGGTATCCATAACACAAGCCTTTTAGCTTATCATGGAACTAGATGGTGTTGTGTGTTAATGTCCTAAGAACATATAACATATTATTTAGTTAAGGCTTATATACATTATACATATAGATTATAGATACCAGATTTCAGTTTAAACTATAAGCTTAAAGCACAAAAAGTAATTAAATGGTTTTTTTTTCATTATTCCCAAGTAGGAATAGATTCTGCGATCTGCTTTGTCATATATAATTTTATTTATGTGTATATAAATAAAATTGATGTTTGTAATGTCAAAATAACAGTTTTTTTTCTAAATGCATATGAAATTATTATATACAGTACTTATAAGATAACCCAATTATTATTATTTTTATCTGTCTGTTTGTTCGGGTTAATCTCCGAAACGGCTGGACTGAATTTGACAGGACTTTCACTGGTAGACAGCTGATGTTATAAGGAGATGTACTTTTATATAAGAAGAAGAAGAATTAGGGTTCCACACAAAAAAATTAAATCGTACCGGAATACGCACCCGAGTGAAGCGAGAATAAGTCGCTAGTTTATTGTTTATTGTATAAGATTTTTCTTATTTGGAATTGACAGATATTATATGTAATGCAATAATTACAGAAAGGAGATGATTTATCTGATGAAGAAGAAATAGAAGAAATCGAAGAAATAGAGGAGATTGAAGAAATTGAGGAGGAGGTAGAAGAAGAAGAGGAAGAAGAAGAAGCATTAGCCCCAAAGGCCGAAGTTAAGAAGAATTGAACTGATAGCGTATACGATAAGATGGGAAGCTAGTTTTCTATGTTTTGATATTTATTTAAATTTGAAGCGAAAAAGTTAGTTTAAATTTAAATTAGGTTTTTTTTCTTTTTATTAAATATAACCCAAATAAATATCAAAACATGAATCACAGCTTTGGTATAGTTTTTCTACATATAAATATACCATTTTATTAAATGTAGCTAATTTTATCTTATTGTAGGAAACGGCGAACAAAATGGCCACTTTTAGCACGTTTTGAACATATGAATAATCATTTTGAAGTTTCTTTTTCAATGCAAATTATAAATAATTTCTTTGTTTTTAATATAAAGTTATTTAAATGTTTTTTATATCCAATAACTAATAAAAATAGTAGTATTTTTAAAACATACATTGCTATACAACTTAATGTAGATTTTATAACAAAATCAAACAATCCTAACAATGATTCAATGCACTTCTCCTCGTGTCTTATTTGATAAGGTACATTCGCATTTTTATTTAATATTCTCTGTAAATTTTATTATCTGTTTCTATTTAAAAATATTTAATTGACTAGGCTTTATGAATTTATCCTTAGCCTGTTAAAAGCATAATTAAAAAAAAAGAATAATTTATAATAATCTGTAAAATACAAAAACTCCTTTAAAAATAAGTACAGATAATAAATTAATCATTACACATTATTTAAATTATTAATATTATACGAATTTATTGTAACTTTGATTGGTGTTCATGCTGTATTTAGAAGTTGTGTGCCAAATTTACTTATTTACAATTTTAGTGGACATTTTTAAATGTGAGTTTCTACATATTATGTATAAATGTAACGGCTCCAAAATTTGAATATTGCTCATATATTATTATTGACAAATTCAAAAACTAAAAGAAAACTAAATAAAAAACCGTCATGGGACGCCCGTCGGATGTGAAACATCGAAACTATTTTGTATAGAAAATATGCATAACAGGATGGTTTTTAATAGCAGTAAATATGACATAATTAAAAACAAAATATTCAATTCTTTTTTAAAAAACATCTAATTTAATACAAAGATTAAAAATTAAAATACGAGCTAAGCGCGGGAGGAGGGAATCAACGAGCCAAGTGGAAAGAGGGTTTGATAGTTATGAGAGCCAACAGCCGGTTTGATCCGCCGCATAAGATGTTTCACATCAATAATTAAAACACTTCAGTATCTGAAGGAAATGGAGTCATATTAACAAAATTAGAACTATTTATTTAGTAAACATTTATAAAATAAGAACACTTTGTTATTGTGAATGTTTCTAGTCAAATTTTGAAACGGATATTTCGGATTTTCTCTTGTTAAATTTGAATTTTAATTAGTTTATTTCTTTGTTGAAAGAAAATATTATATTGTAAAATGGTTAAAATTTACATTATAATTTAATTTTATTTAAAACTCTTATTTCTTATCTGTTTTTACGAAAGGAATTATAGGAAGTACGGAAACTTCTCTATTACAGATAAGGCTACATATAATTTATAACAGACAAACATGTTAATATTCATGCTTTACTATTTCTGGTGTGGCTCGCTTCTTGAACTTCTGCATTTAAATTATTTGTGTTTCTTGCTTTTGCGAACAATCTTAAAATTAATTTATCTGAAACTATTCTCCCTTTACATTTAAGTTTTGCCTTAAAACTATATATTATAGATATATTTTGTTATTTACAAACTTTTCATTTTTTTTTGTAATTATATTTAGTAATATAATATTATATTTAGTATGTTTGTTGCTATCTCCAAAATATTGAAAAGGGAATCTTTTAGTTGCAGTCAACGCATGAACATTCCTTCATTCGTGAATGAACAGAAAAATATCTTTATTTTTTAGCAATTTATGTGATTTTATGGATTGTGTTAATATTTTAATAGCATTTTGTTATGTATTGCTTGTTAAGTTCAGTTGTTTGATTAGATTTGTAAGAAATAAACTTTAACATAGAATGTGGTTTCATTCAACATATTTTCTTTTAAGATCTGTTAGATTCAGATATGGAAAACATAAAAATATGAACCTATACCACCACTAAGGCAGTTAAGTGGGGAGTAGGTAATTAAAATCTAAATACATTATAATCAATTATAATTTCACTTATAATGTATTCTTCTCAGTAGCGCAAGAAGGCAATTGGACCAGCAGTTCTCCATTTATAAGCACATAGACTGACAGATATTGAGTTTTCTTATACTTATTACTTTATATTTTAGTGAGAGTTGTGGGGTACATGTTTTTTGTTATTTATTATAGCAGTTAATGGTAATGTCACAAATTCAATATTCAAATGATATAATTAGCCTGTTATCAATTAAAATAATTTGAAAAGGATTTTAGGTTTGTTTTATTTTAGCCATAGTATAGGTTTGCTCACATATTTATTTATCAAGTAAAAATCAAAATTCAACTTAGATTCAGTCAATAACATAAAAGATGAGAAAAAGTTGTCTTAAAACCCCATTAAAATTAATCTGTTGTTAGTTAAATTATTTTTAGTTTTCATTAAGTATACAACTTATTTCTTTAAGTCCAGCAAATGTTTCATAGAAAAAGAGCTATTTGCAAAACTGAGAAATTCTGTTGATTGTGTATCTATTATATTATAATATAAATAAATAATATTTTGAATACAATTGTGAAACATTATTGTTTGTTTTGAGACAAATGGTAATTAATTGATAACATTATAATAAAAAAATCTTTATATTGCTTAGCATATTAACTTTTACAGAATTTATATTTGTAACAACTACACTTGAATGTGATTAACTAATTTTTAATATACTAGTGACTCACCCTTGCTTCGCTTGTGTTTGTCCCTAGTTTGATTCCCCATACAAACTTTCATCCCCATTTTCATCCAAATAAGGGATGATATCTGGAATAAAAGTATCCTATGTCCTTCCCAGGGTCTCAAACTATTTTAATAATGTAATAATGTTGGGACATTAAGACACAACGCCATCTAGTTCCATGGTAAGCTACGAGGCTTGTGTTATGGATACCAGATAGTTGATACATTACACATATATAACTTTAAATACATACATATTATAAATATAAGCACCCCTGACTGGAGTACAAAAATTCGTGTTCATCACACAAATGAATGCCCCCAGTGGGACTCGAAACCGCAACCGTTGGAACAGCAAGCAACACTACCTACTGAGCCAAATGTGTCATCATAAAAATAATAATTTTCTTACCAAATTTCATCTAAACCGGTTCAGTAGATACAGAGATTACCCCCTACAACATCACAAACTCACAATTCACAAACTTTACCTCTTTATAATATTTTTTAATATTTAAACATGTTTTTTTTTTTCATTTATCCTGCTCAGCACAACAATCTGTTTTTAGACATTTAGTTATATTAACTATATATACATGTTAATAAGAAAATGCAGTAAGCTGACCAATCAAAATTTGTGAAATATCATAAAAATAATTTAAACCAATATGACAGTGTAAAGAATAAGTAGTATAATAATTATATATATATATATATATATATATATATATATATATATATATATATATATATATATATATATCAATTATTGATAATATTATATGGAGATTGAAGAAACTGTTTAATAAACATAATATAAGACCTTATAAATGTATTTGTAATATAATAAAAACACTACTTGGTATCACATTTTCCATGTATTTTAAAACAAGCTTTAAATAATGATATTGATCGTATTTACAGTCTATTATATTCCATCTAGTTTAGGATTATTCAGATATTCTTATGATTACTTTGAACCTGAAAATATAAACAACATTATTATTTTTATATGAAGTCATTATTTTTTTTTAAATTATCAATTGTAAAATATAAAACAAATCACATTCAATGGCCCCTAAAACACATGCACACAATATTCTTATAAGTAGAGATTAAATTTATAAATGTCATTCTACTATTGTGGCTTGTGGCAAATAAAAGAATAATCATAACATTTCTTTAAATACTATTTTATTCAATCAAGTTAAATCTTACCAGGAGACCAGGTTTTCAATTCATCGATATCTTTGACTAAACTCCAGTCATGTTTAACAGATTTAATAGTCTTATGGGCAGTATGTATCTCAGGGATCAAGGTCCAATTCTCATCTATAGCTGTCTTTTTGACCATTGCTATAGCCCCAAGAATAAGTGCTACTGGCACGGCAACCGTAGGGTTCTTTTGCCAAGCTCCAAATACAGCACCAGAGACAGCACCTCCAAGGAAGTAGTTTAAAGTGTCATTTTTGCCCCTAATATTCTGAGCAGTATTAGCGGTAACTGTGAACGCAGCGGCCATACCGACCATGGGGCCAAGGTAATAGGCATATCTGAGCCCAGTGTTGAAGATTCCTTTAGGATGCGAGTACATGAGAACATCCATAGTTGCTACTCCTAGTCCTGCCAAACCAGCATATTTCGATGTTACAAAGACTTTCTTATAAACATCCTGGCCTTCAGGGGTGTCGTAGTATTTGTAAGATAGCATGGTTTCGTTTAAATGTGATCAATATTCAAGAAATTGTTACACAACAGACATTGAAAATTCGGCTGTCAAATTGACAAAGACGATTACTTTTTGTATAATGTGTTGCTATGTACAAACTTAGCAAATGATCAATTCCAATTTACGCAATGTATGCAATTTATGAAAAGTAGGTACATAATTATATTATAGATAAAAATATTGTGACATTCAACTTAAAATTTTCAAATTTATGTTTTCTAATTTTTAAGTAAATTTTAACGTATATATTTTTAAACTTGAGTTTTACTTAAAACATTATTTAGTGTATTTTCCATTATATACATATTTAAGTAATACTTAAAAATCATTTATGATATACTATAAAGATTTTATTAATAGTGACTATGACTTTATAATATTTAATTAAAATATAAAGATATACATCATCGTAACTTTTGTTGCCTATTGTACATGCAATGTGCATAGGGTACTTCCTTCCGTCATCAATTTGTCAGTGCAGTTGTTGATGGTCGTTACTCTTTTGCATCTGTGGTTGTGTCAAAAGTACCAAAAATGGCGGCGGACGGTGACGAAGTGATTAGTGATCAGGAAAAAGTGAGAATTGTTTCGGATTTTATACTACATTCGCCCCCAGGAGAGTTTAATGAAGTGTTCAATGATGTGAGAGTATTGCTAAATAACGATACTCTGCTCAAGGAGGGCGCGAGTGGAGCCTTCGCGCAGTACAATAAGGACCAGCTCACGCCCGTGCGTCTCGAAGGCTCGGAGCTTCATACGCTAATCACTGACCACAATGACCTCGGTGGAGGCAGGTTTTTCGACCCGCGTTCCAAGCGGTCCTTCAAGTATGACCACTTGCGAAAAGAAGCTTCCGAGTACGAACCGTTCGAACCGGATCGAGTGGCAGAGCCTTGGCGAGCCGCACTCGACGTGGAGCTGACGACATATGTAGCTGAACATTATAAACACGGTGCGAGTTTAGTGGTGGGTCGAGCTCTCGATTCTGGAGTAGTTTCCCTCGTCGCGTGTATCGAAGATCACCAATTCCAGCCTAAAAATTATTGGAATGGCAGGTGGCGTTCCGTATGGTCGCTAACAGTCGGCGGTGGTGCCACAGAACTACGCGGGATGCTTCGCGTGCAAGTGCACTATTACGAGGACGGTAACGTCCAGCTCGTCAGTTCGAAGGAGGTGAAGGCGCCGTTAGTTGCCAGCGGCGACACGGGAACGGCCAAGGAGTTCGTGAGACTGGTGTGCGAGGCGGAGAACGCGTACCAGACCGCCATATCCGACAACTACAAGACAATGAGCGATACTACGTTTAAGGCACTGCGGCGGCAGCTGCCGGTGACTCGCAGCAAGATCGACTGGGCGCGGCTCGTGTCGTACACCATCGGCAAGGAGCTGAAGAGTCAATGATGTCCCGCCGCTGCGCTCTGAGCTGCAGCGGTCGCTCCATGCCTCTGTACATATTCTCGTAAGAGTAAATCTTGTTCAAATGTTTACTGGCGCCACGGGATGTCGCCCCCTGGCGTGTATTTATCTATGATTATATAGAGAAATCGCTATTGTAACTGTTAAATTTTATTGCATTTTGTTACTCTCATTATGAAAGGATATTGATTGCTTCGCCCGCTTTAAAGTGGAATTATGATATTTTTTTTATTTTAAAGAGAGTACTAACTTGACAGTTTCGGTTTGTAGTGATGAGATTATAGAGGGCTCCGTTTGTTATCTAGGTCCCAACTGTTTTAGAGTAGAGGTCTGGGTCCATAGCAAACTTTATTTTCGACTAATTTAAATTTTTCATTTATAAAAGTTTATCGCAGAGTAATTGTTGTGTAAGCAATATAAATCTGATTTTGTTTTATTTCATCAAATGTTGTGTCAATTACAGAGGAAATATATTCTTAAAAACTATTGCTTGAGGTGATCGCTAGACTTTGGATTGTGATTGATATAGAATAAATTAAAAAATGCTCAATTTGTAGACTACAAAGACTAAAGTTGACAAATGGATAAACTACACATTTAGGCTATAATGAGGAAATCTTTAGGTGGGGTGATGCAAAAATATTTTTTATTGTTATAAAATACTTATTTGGACTAAACAAATGAAATCCAATGTCTAGAGATGACTACACCTGCTTGAATGTTTCGTCCATCCAATGATATATGAACATCAGTATTATTTGTATATTAGTTCTTGATATTGCTTGCATAATAGTACCGGGTATTGACAAAGTGAATTTCAAATGGTGCATTTAATTGTAGTTTAAAAGTCCACATAGCTTTAACGCAAAGGGCAAAGAGCACAATATTGATTTTATTCAATGGAAAATATGTGGTTTGCTCAAACGTCAGTAACAGTAAGTGGATAGAAGAAATTTATGGCATTGAGAGTGCGAATGAAAGCATTAACTTTTTATATGTATGTAAAACTCCATAAGGTTTATTTTGTAATTATTATAATTTAAAGAATGTAACATTAAATTCAAGTATTCTGTAATGTATGATTGAATTCATTTGAATAAAAATATATATTAAAATGTTGCTAACAATTTTTTTATTTATTTTTTCATAACAATTATTTACTACTTGAAATGAAAATATATTTTTTCTGAAAATAATAAATATTTATAACGCTTGAATGTCAAGAATTCAGGTTTTAATGTCTCATTTTTGGGCTTCACTTAAACTAATAGGGCATTTAGAATTTTGCTGACATATAAACTTATTGGCAAGTTATAATAAATACTGCTAAGTAATGAAGAGTAGGAAAGGCCTTGTTTATAATAGCTAAATGAAATAAAAGAGAAAAATTGGAAAAATTTTAAGGGTAAGCAAAGAAATCTAAGTTTGTGGGGCTGCCACAGTCAAATAGCTTTTGACAGGACGACGTTTCTCAGATCAGCTCGTTTAAAAAAATGAGTTCACACTCATTTTTTTGCCATTGCAGTGCAATTTAAAAATAGTATATATTTTATTTACTTAATTATGCACCAAAAAAAATACATATCAAACAGAAAACAGATAGCATATGTACAAAGGATAACTTATCTCTAAGAGATCTCTACCAGAAATCCTCGAGTGTGACGAGAAAAATTGATTGAATTGAATGAATTTTAATTTAGGATATTGTCATTTTGCTTTATTTAATCAGTTTAAAAAATAAACAAGGTAATGGTGTAAAATGTGGAGCACTCAATGTGGCTTATCTTGATAAAATTAAGTATTTATTTGTTGATTAGAAGTAGTGATGTCACCAAAGTATCACACTTATGTTATACATGATATTATAGCATATTTTTAGTAGTATTATTGGACTTTTAACCATTTTAGACTTGTCTTGTTTGACAAAATGCATGTATAAAATATCTTGAATGATGTTTGTGACATTTTCTAATTTACTTATTATATATTTTTATATACATTTTTATTATATCGCACTAATAACTGAAAAAAATGTGAGTGTTTGTTCTTTTAGCTAAAACGGCTTAACGAATTCGAAACACAACGGAATATAATCATTAAGTGATAAATCATGTAATCTCTAAAAGTATGAACGGTAAAAACTTGTAAGGTAGGTTCTTCATATAGAGTAGATGTCCTTTACGAAAGGGTTTTTAGAAATTCCACCCCTAAAAGGGTAAAAAATGGGTTGGAAGTTTGTATGAAATTCTGTTATTTTTAAACTATGCAGGTAGAGCCGCGGGCAACAAATACTAGCACATTGCCCACTAAGCGAGCGAAGCCGCGAGTAAAAAGTAGTTAACAATTTTAAAAGGTAAGCAGAGGATAAAAACAAGGGTGTATGACGTGTTTGGTACACGGCGGGATGACTCACAACGCCGTCACTCGCTCCTCGCTACATAATTACTATCGAATTTGAATTCAATGCACTCTATAAAATCATTCCTGAGAAGTGTCGTGATGTCGTTATTTGAATTTTATTATATATCTTTGAAAATATTCAGTTTAAGGAAAAGCATTGAATTGTATTACTTTTTCGAATCGTCTAATATACCTAAAGCACATAATATGTCAGATGCATCGATTAAACAAGTACTAGATACACAATCCCATGCAAAAGTTCTCTTAAAACTGTCACCAATTGGGTTTAGGTAATTGTTGTAGTTGAAATAAATATACAACAATGTAAATTGAACCTTAAATGCAATGCTTAAAGTTGTTTTCACAAAAAAAAACTAAAAGCGCGCTCAAATGTTCAAATGAGCGCTCATTCGGTGAGGACATTTGTCGCTGATTGTGTATCTAGTATACATAAAAAAGTATACATTTACTCAAATTCATTCGTTTCTTCTTCACAATTCGCGTCACTGGTAAAATGTTTTGTGCTTGGTAACGCATCATTATCAGTTCCCAAAGAGGCTCAAACCCGCGGCTTTCTGCGTAGAACAGATTGCTGACTGACCACTGCGGCAGGTGCTCGTCTATATTTTTTTATAAAGGTTAAATGAATGTAGGAAGTTGTAACTAGTAAAAAAATACTAATTTACTTTTTTACCGACTTCAAAAAGAAGAAGGTGCTCAATTCAAGTGTTTTTAAACTATTAATTAATAAATAATTAGTTAATACGTAGGTGCATTAAGCGTATTCTCATATTCAAGAAGAAATCCAAAGCTAAGGGTGAAGTGACATGAAACCTTTCTTATTAATTGATAAGAAATTTATTTCTTAATGCCATCACCTGTGTGATACAAACTAACACATTTACATTTAAATTGACTTAAAAAAGCGACTAATTCAGCTGTAGCTACTGCTTTTTGTAAGCATATTTTGAAGTCTAAACCGATTTTAATGATCTTTTGATCTGCATTGAATAAGCCCATATGGTTATTTTATTTTATATAAAGCAACTCATCCTTTGTAGAGTACTTAAATAGTAAGTTTTTAGTTTAAGTACCATATGCGGGCTATTATAGAGTTTCTATTCAACGCGAGGGGGATCAGGCCATAGTCCACCATGGTGGCCAAGTGCGGGTTTGGCTAAAATAATATATTTTTCAAAAATTTACTGAGTAGATACTCTTAGACATGTAAATTTCCTTACGATGTTTTCTTTCATCATAAGACATGTGGAAATCACGTAAATTTTTCGCATATGAATATCAGAGGTGTATAATCTGGGATTTGAGCCCGCTTCACTTAGTTTTCCAAGGCAGCACGTTACCATTGCGCTACTGCTTAACAAACTCCGTTCGATACATTTCCATATCTTAATAAAATTAAATTATGTTTTATTACACGCACTACCATTGTATTAACCAGGAAATTGTTTTGTAATTGTACGTAACTGGCTTATCTAAGTACCTAACGCAAGCAAATATTTCCTTAATAGCTTTAGGGAAGAACGTCACAAGTAATTTCAATCCGTTTTGTGACATCTTTGACGACACGTTTGGCTCAGTTTGTATTGACTACTTGCTGTGCCAGCGGTCTCGGGTTCGAGTACCGCTGGGGGCATTGAAATGATGTATGTATTTAAAGTTATATAATATGTGTAGTGTATCAACTATCTGGTATCAATAACACATGCCTCGTAGCTTACCATGGAACTGGATGGTGCTGTGAGTTAATGTCCCAACATATTAATTTCATATTTATACTTTTATGGTGACCCAATTCCATTCACGAAATATTTGAACCGAGAGGAGAACAATCAAAATTGTAAAGTTTAACTGAATATCAAAGTTTGTCTTTACCAAACTGGACTCGATAAAACAATGGAACTGTAGAAAATTGCCAAACCAAATTTCATTCTAACCAAATGAAAACCTCAGCTTTTCATTCTCTGTCGAATATTCTGTGTATCTATCTGCAGAATTTATGCATATTGTTAGTGCTTTTAGGTATGGGTTAGAAATTGTTTATTTTTGCTTTTTTTCATTAGTTTGTAAAGTTTTAGGCAATTGAGATTATCTATCCTTATTTTAAATAATATTAGATAAAAAACCTTGTTACGCCTACATTTTGACCCAAAAGGTGAATAAATCCTTCATGGGCCTGAGTATACCGCATATATAATATGATTCCACAAAATTTCTTAAATATACTTTTTCAAAAATTTTAAGATAAAATTAAAAATATTTTATTGAGCAAAGCGTATTATACTTCTACTATGCAGGCTACCTTTAAATTTATGTTAATAAAATAAATGTAACCTCTATATTTAAAAGAGCTACTGTTGAGTTTCTCGCCGGTTCTTCTCAGCAGAACTGCATTCCGAGCCGGTGGTAGCTTCCTCACGGACTGACTACACTGACGCTTTCATTAAATTGACGATTCAAAAGTACCTGTAATAAGGTCTAATTGAATGAAGTTTATTTCATTTCATGCCAAATACACAGTGTTTAAGTTTAATAATGTTAAGAAACTAGGTAGTTGAGTTTGATCGTTAAAGCTTACTTATTCGATAAAATTCTTCCAAGTAAGAGCTAAATTAGGTATTCCTATTTTTTATTCGGCCATATCGTAAATATTACAATATCGGTGAAAAACGTGCAGTGTACTTAAAGCATAAGTAAAGAAAGGACAGGTCGGTAGTGTTTAAAACAAGAAATAGTACTATCCAATAATTGAACTCGTGACGAGCTTCCCAGACAACCGCTGCGCCAGACGTTCGTCATAAGCATTGATTTAATAAAAGAGTATAAAAAGTATGTCAAGGACCTGCGTTTTTAATGATTCATCGCAAGAGCTTCGATGGGTGTATTATGGAATTTATAAGGATAAATCATATTTTGCTATAAATATCTTCTAATTAGTGATGTGCTTTCGCTTCGATCAGGCACTATTTCGATTTGTTATATAGGTAATCTATACTAATATTATAAAGAGGTAAAGTTTGTGAGTTTGTGACGTTGTAAGGGGTAATGGATCTACTGAACCGATTTAGATGAAATTTAGTAAGAAGATAGTTTGAGACCCTGGGAAGGACATAGGATATAGGAACCCAGAAATTATCCTTTGTGGTGTGATGAAAATGGGGATGAAAGTTTGTATTGGGAATCAAGTTGGGGACGAACCCGAGCGAAGCGTGGGTGAGTCGCTGTATATTAAATATTTCTGCAGTATATACACTAATAACTAAATAATAAACAATAGCATTCCCAAGGAGAGTTGATATCAGGCAGGCGGCCGGTCGTAAAACTTTTGCCAAATCCTATCAGCAGTACGGAAGATATACTGCGCCGACCCCAAGTGATTGGGAAATGTGGCAGGGAGATGATGATAATTATAATACTAATACTTTATTTCACAAAATTACATACATATTGTATTTGAAAAGGACATATGATGATACACTAACAACTATCTTAGGGTTTCTCCTAGAATGTGTATACCTTGTCGTGGTGATTGGTGAGGTCATTAACCTGGAAAAAAATTGATGCTAAAAAGCTTTTTAAGTGTCGCTAAAAGCGTATAGTATTAGAGTTAAATAAATAAATAAAAATTGAAAGTCGTTAAGGAAGCTAGCGGCTATATCCTAACACTAAGTTTCTACGCCAAAACAATTATTATCAATGAGACGCTTACCGATTCCGAGAAGTACTTACTATCGGTAATTTCCGTTGATAAAGCATGGTTAGTTTGTTTTTGTAGATTTATGTACTAATTTTATATTCTGGCAACATATTGATAAGAATGTGGGCCGGCCGGGTGTTCAGCGTGAATGATTAAAGCAGTATTCAACCCTTTTTAACGTCCCACTGCTGGGGGTGGGCCTCCCTTTAACACAAGGGGGATCAGGCCATAGTCCACCACGCTGGCCAAGTGTTTTCGGACTGAGCAATAAGCATGTCTTTCGTTAACTTGCTAGGGTTAAATTATTAAAAATATATTCTTTCCATTTCTTTTATGTTATCTTTAATTTATAATAACATATTATTTTTAAAATAAAAAGTGTCTTTAAAACTCTGTTCAAGTAAAATAGTCCTACAAAATAAAATTAAATCTCGAAGTTTGCGCGGAAAAAACAGACAATTAAAAAATATGTTCTTACCTTGTTTACGTAATTGCTTCATACTTTTAAAAAAAAATAAGGAAATCTATGTTACCAAATTATAGTTTTTCAATAGAAAGCACAATGATTAAAAAAATATATTATGCATAGCTATATATGGACATATAAAAAATAAAAAATAGATACTCAGATATATTTTATTAGCTGCCTCAGTTTGTGCCGCCATCTTAATTAGACAATAAATTAACTATGCTAACTTTAACAATTAAAAAGTTAAAATAAATGCTTTACAATTACGTATATATATTTTACGATTTTATAGAAATATGTAAATTGTGGATACAAAGGTAAGTTACAAAAATACTTTTATAGGACTTTTTTTTAAATGTAACTTTTTACTTTTATATCCACAAAAGTTAGTTTATCAAATTTCATTCATCATCATTCACCAAATGAAATATTCTTTCATTCAGTACTTACAATACTAAAGACAATTCAACAGCCATTGATTATTTTAAATATAGAGAAATAAAACTTATGACTAAATATGGCCTAACCCATATTTTTGAAAATATTGTAAATTAATAAAATTTTACACTAAATCCTTGTGCTATGAAATTTTTATATTACTATTAAATTTAACTTTTTTTAGTTATAGTTTAGTATAAAAATGCTAATAAAATAATTATATAATATATCCAATTTGGGTTAGGCCACTTTAAGCTAACAATCTTTTGTAATTGTATTATAAAGGCAGAAAACTAAAAATCTATATATTTACAATATGCGTAAAACCTAATGCTGTTACTATGTCGGGAAGTTCATATAAACAAAAGTATACAATTTTAACTTTACTAAATTCTGTAAAAGTACACTGTAAATAATAATAAATACTGTTAGAAACCAGGGCTCGGAAACCCGTGCATTTTTTAACCGGTTAAATCCCGGAGAACTGTTTTTTACGAATTTAGGTTCCTTGATCAAAATTAACCGGTTGAAATGAGTTTTTGTGCATTTATATTTGGCATGTCTGCTAACGGTGAATGGTTTAGTAGAAGGATGCATGTACGTTTCTTATTTATGAATGAATTAACCGGTTTATTTCGGTATCAAAACCAAAATCCAACCTTTCACTAAGAATAACCGGTAACCTTTATTAATTCGGTTTACTAAACCGTTAGTTTTCATTAACTGACCGGTTAATAAACCATTATATTACCGAAATAAAAAAAAATTAAACCGGTTCCGAGCCCTGTTAGGAATCTGCAATTAATAAAAATGGACAAACTCTGGATACTTTTAGCTCTCTTAAATATTTACTTCTTTCAATTGTTATAATAAAAATTATTGGAATAAATCTAGTAATAATAGAAAACAAGAAGTTCAACCCAAAAGGAAGACCTTAGTTCAAAATATAAAACTACTATATAATTTATTTGATAATTAAATAAACTTTATAAGAAACTTTTGTTTTATTTTAAAAAGCATGCAGTCTTTAAATCTCTTATAAGACTCTCAAGTAATAACTAACTTCAATATTCATTTGAAGCCCAAAAAGGCATAACCCTAAAACGATTGATATTTAAAAAAAAAAAACAAAATGCAGCGAGGTGTATTATTTATATGGAACTATTTCTGTCATCAAACAAGTTAACATAAGTTTTGATAATTCGGAATTATTGGTTAGGCCTCTTTGTTCTTCAGGCCTGAATTAAAACCCCAAAATTAGTATTATACGTATTCTTTTTTCTTCTTCACATGAAATCTTGATAGGATCCTAAATACTGAATTCATTAATTAATAAATATATTTTTATTATTTTCAAATGGAACATTTACGTGTTTATTTTTGGTATAATAACTGTCTTTATAAAATATTGGCTGGTAATATTGTATGTGGGGGAATGACCGCCACGACTGCGAGTACTGCGGCACTTCTGAAAAGTGAACATATATATAAATAAATATGCAATATTGTACATTTTAAAGAGAGTATTTTTAGATCGATGTACGAGTATGTAGGTTTTTGTCGAGGGTTAAAACGAGAGAAACGATGAAATAAACAAATAGGTATATGTAAAAACAATTGTTTCATATTTGTATGTACACTATACAGTATATCTATACTATAATAAAACAGTAGAGGTCGAATGTCTGTACATAGCAAAAAATGCTAAAAACCTAGTCAGGGGGATGCAAGAAGACAAATAGAACAAATCCAGATATTTTTCAATTTTTTGTTTCTCTGTTTGTTTGTCTGTTTGTACGGGCTAATCTCCGAATTTATTGGACCGATTTAAATGAAATTTTGCATGGTGGTACCTTATATCCCCGGGCAACATCTTAGATACTTTTATTCCGGAAAATTAAATAGTTCCCGTGGGATAGTTAAAAAACTATAGTATCTTATACAGCTTAGTACACAACAACTTATGCACCTAATTTAGTAAAATTTAACATTCTAATACCTTATATTGCCGGTCAAACAACAGGCTACTTTTCATCCCGGAGAAATGAACGGTTCCCGTGGGAACTGATAGATCTCTATTAGTGTTTTTCTAGAGGCGAACCCGTGCGAAGCGAGGGTGAGCCGCTAGTATGTAATATTTTTGTTTGTCTTTATAACGTGGACTAATTGAACAATACATAGAGTTCAAAGCTTACGTCTATCGGTTTTGTGTTATTGTTATATTAACCGACTTCAAAATGGGGAGGTTCTTAATTCGTGTATTTTTTTGTGTATACATTAGGCGATGTTTTTATAATATTTTAAAGTAAACTTCAAGGGTGGTTCAATATACAACTATTCAGCCCTTGACAAAATGTTTGGCTCAGTTTGTAGTGACACTACTGGCTGTTCCAGCGGTCGTGGGTTCCAGTTCCGATGGGGGCATTCACTTGTATGATGAGCACGAATGTTTGTTCTCTAGTAATGGATGTTTATATTTATAATATGTATGTATTTATAAAGTTATATATATGTATAGTGTATCAACTATCTGGTATCAATAACACAAGGCTCGTAGAAATATCAGAGGTTCGAGTCCTGGGATTTGAACCCGCTTACCATACACATTGCCAGAAATATCCCGTCTCTATGAGTGGAATAATTACTTTTAAAGATATTTAACGTCTGGACTCTTGAGAGGAGCTCTGGAGTGAAGCTTTCGCTCTATCTTTAGATCAATTTGAACGATTGTCGATTGCAATGGAAGTTTGCTATGCTTTTAATACAGACTATTAATAATATATAATTATATCATAAACATTCCAAAGTACCATTAAATCCGTTTGTAATCAGAAGAATAAAATAGACAAACATATAAATGACAAAAGCATTTATATATATTTTTCAATATATCCCACGGAGCACGATAGAGTCCAAATTAAAAGTTTTTCAAAAACGAAATTTATAAAAAATATTCGATGTACTGCAACGTTGAAATCGATACAATTTTATTATACGGTGAGATAGATTCACGATATTTGGTACGACTCTTCCAGAGTCGAGTAATTATTGTGACATTTAACTATATGTTTATAATATATTTTTCATATAACCCCTAGCAGCGCCTTTAGCGGGTTAACTCAAACTAAAGTTGACAATACTAAAAAAAACGATCGTTCACTCGATAGCGATTATCAAAAAAAAATATTGATCTTACCTATATCTGTGGGTATAACGAAGTTCTTAGGCGGCAGCATCACCGCCGGCACTGGACCTTCTATTCCTGATGGCACATCTAGATCTTTCTCAGAATTTATCACGTGAAACGTCGATAGAGACGGATTGAAAGCGTCTTTCTCTTTCACATTGTGGATTTTGTCCTCTTTTTTATCATTTTCCGTTGTAATTTGATCTTTTGTGTTATTACTTTCTTCAGAGTCTTCTCTAATATGTATTTTGTGTTCCTTTACTTCAGTTTGAAGAGTAACAGAATTTACTTCATTGTTCACATCATTTAGTTTAGTTTTATCATTTCTAGATATTTCTTTATTAGTATTTACATTTACAATATCTTTAAGGTTAATAATCTTATTTTCAATTGATATATTTTGATTATCTTTTTGAAGTATAACAACATTATTATTTATTTCACCTTTGTCGCTTAAATTATTTAATGTTTTATTAATTTTCCTTAAATTCAGTAAATCTTCAGTATTAAATTTATTGTTATTTACTAAGATATCATTCTCTTTCACTCTATTGTAATCGTTAACATTTTTATGAGTTGTGTTTTGTGTTTTGTTATTTTTATCATTTTTCTTTTTATTATCATCTCTTTTAGTGAGATTATCATAAATAGGGTCTTCTAAAGGAATACCCTCAGGTATGTCATCTAGAGAATATTCGTATGAGATAATAATTTCTCCGCTTCCTGTTAAGGATCTAGCTTTGTTGAAGAGATTATCTGACGCGTTATAATCGTTTACTTCTTCAGCGATTAGAGAAGGACAGTCCTCTGGGATGGTATACATCTGTGGATAGATAGCTGTTATGTGAACTCCTTACCTTTATATTATATATTATCAAATCAAAACAATCGGAATATTTTTTCTTTTTCATTTAAATTACTATTAAAAAATAAATAGGTTTTATAGCAGGCGTTTTCATTCAAAAAATAATTCTTCGACATGTATGTACATATTATGTCAATACTTATATGTATCTCATACAAATCTATCACATCTTTAGTTATTTAGCTATTTTTTTTTAGTACTAGATCTCAGTTCTAATAAATCCTATAAGCTAATAATGTTCAACTTAGTGCATTGGCATTATAGCCAGTGACATATTAGTTGTAAATAAACTAAGGTTGAAAGATGACATTTTTCTTTACGTTAAGTATTACGCTGTTTTTATTATATTATTAGTTAGACAATAGATTTTGCTTATTTTTACTCATTTACCTAACTCTTTTTTAGTGCGTCTCTACCTTCTTTTTAGAAATACTATTGGTCCACATTTAACTCACCTGTGTGTCCACGATTAAAGGATTATAATAATCAGTGATCTTAGCATATGCTGGTTTAGTTTTTGTGCGAGGGCCGACTGTATGTATGTTGTAGCAGACGTGTCCCGCGCGAGGTGTCGTGTCGCTCCCGTCTCGTGTGCCGAGGTAGAGACTCGCTTTACCGTTGTTTGGTGTAACCTCTATTCTCCGAAGTACTGAAACAAGTAAAACATGTTAGTTAAGCAGAATCTATAAAGCAAAGTGAACTTATATGGCTTAAATGTAGATTTCACTTTAATAAGATTTGTATTATTTTTTTGTATTTGTGAATGTCACATATTAAGCACCTTTAAATTGCTTAGGTTTCGTGTATTATTCCTAGTTTAGGACCTAGGTCTTTTAAAGTATGAGTTATGAGTCATATTAAGTATAGTTATTGGGTTTATCTGTCAAAAAATTGTCAGTTGTTATGTAGGCGGTGTTACACTCCTGTAACACGGAACACATAAAGCTCTACATAAATTCAGTCCAGCGCCTAAATGCTATCCAGTCATGTCGAGTTGAAGTCCCACAAGGCTTTTAAATAAAAAAAAATAGAGGGTGATCATGTGTCTATGTACTCACTTGTGCCCTATATCTAATATAGTATTATATGATCTGTGCCTATATTATCTTCTATGCACATGGCTAGTCTCCATTCTCCATAATATTGGTCGGCGCCTTAGCCGAAATCGTTCAAAATAACATTATATGTTTCCTTAAACTGTCAATTTTAATAGTCTTAAGAATAGTTAGTAACACAATTTAAATGTAAATTTCTAAAAAAAAATAACCAATGCGTTATAAACTTAGCCAAGTTACGCATACGATTGAAGTACATTTAAAAATTGTGAATATTTATAAGAATTATTATTTATTTAATAATTGCTAACAAAGAAATCATTTTTATACACGTAAAGGAACTCACGACTAGTTTGCGTGGAAAAAGTATGAAAGAAAAAAAAGGATGTTTTACGGGAAGTCATTGTTCGACAGAAATGTAAGCTTTATTCGCGTAGAGCATGCATTGCCGAAACAGTGAAAACAAAATGGTAAAAACTATACTTTATCTCACTTTCGGTGTAAAGTCCGTCAACTTATATATTACACGATGAATTTAAGCAAAATAAATAGTAAATTTAGGCAAAAAAATAGGTAGCTCAGTAGTAACACGCTCGCTTGAGAAACCGAGTGAAGCGGGTTCAAATCCTGGGTCCCTTACCTCTGATATTTTCATGTGCGAATCATTTCTAATATGATTACCACTTACGACGAAGGAAAATATCGTGAGGAAACCTGTTTGTCTGAGAGAACCTAGCAAGTTTTCGAAAGACATGCTCAGTCCGCCCGCACTTGGCCAGCGTGGTGGACCAGGGCCCGATGATGGGCATTAAAAAGGGCTGAATACAAATAATAATATAAACAAGAAACCGTACTCGACTACCGTAATTGAAGGATTGATATACCATATTACTAGCCTACGCTATTTTGTCCATTTTAAAGTATTTCCAAAATTTTTGCAAATTTTTTGGAATTACAGAAAATTTTTGTTTAACAAAGGAATAACAAATAATTTAAATTAAAACCACTTTATATATTTCTGTTAATTTGTGAGTCAAATTCGTATTATTTTTCATATTTCATTTTTGTCGAATTTACTCAAATGAAACACTTTGGAGTTCAAATTATATTATAGCTGATGTCAACGACTAAGCATGTCTTTGAAACAGAATGCGCGCCAGAAAATATTTTTGGACACTGTTAACTAATAACATGCAATAGTGGGTCATATCGTATAAATATAGGATGCAGTCTGTACAAGTACAGAAGATCGTTTTGAAGTTTAAAACATGTTTTTTTTTAAATTGTGTTGCAGCTATTCAAAGACTGAGCAGATTTATTTGTTTTAAAAATACTTAAGTGCTTGGTCCAACGCTTTATTTCTGCGATAACATGGCAAAGGATCGACATACCTATTATTTTTATAATCACCCTCATTCACCCTCGCTTCGCTCGGGTACGCCCCTAATTAGTAGTTTATTTTTTTTGAGCTGAATTCTTTTTTTAAATAAAAGCAGCCTTAGTTATTCCTTATAACATCAGCTATCTTCCTGTGAAAGTCCCGTCAAAATCGGTCCAGCCGTTTCGGAGATAGCCAAAACAAACAGAAAGACTTTTTTTTCAGATTTATCTTATATGTACCGTACTTTCATACGCGTTTAGTAAAGAGTTGTTATTTTGACATTACAAATAGACACTTCAATTTTATTTATCTGTATAGATAGACTGTACTTTAAATTTATGTTTTGTGTACACACATAATTAAGTACTTATTGTATAAAATCTCAAATGGTTCTCGTAGGATTTGATTGGTCTATTGTGCGAATACCTTCCTGTTATTGATGTCACAGGCGAATTACTGCGATGATAGAGTTCTTTTTTCCATTATAGCACGCGCTACAACGGCAACGATTTACACTTGGTATACACTCTTGACTAAAGTGTGGAAAAGTGAGGACGAGTCATTATCTATTTTTTAACCGTTATTGCCCCACTGCTGGGCAAAGAAATCTGTCTTCTGCTTCACTATCTAATATTAAAATTAAAAAAAAAATCCGAAACAGTTCCTTCAGTTTAAATTCTCAAAATTAGCACGTTTTAGAAGATAAAGCTATAATTAAAAAAATGGAAAAATTCAATTTTAACATATTTTTTTTGGGTAAAAATAAATATTTGCAGTGTAAAATATGACCCGGTCACTCATGCGGTCCGTCCGCTTTTGTGTTCCCAGACTCCAAGTATCTAGAACGAGTAATCAAGCATTTCACTGTACATGCTTTTGTTATTCGCACTGAATAACATCCACTTTTTCAATAGCACCGTTAAAAATATTTTCTTTGTTGTTTTATGTTTTATCAATTAAGGGTCAGGCTGAAGACTAATTCGGAAATTCTGTTCTTATGTTACCGCTTTATTTGGGTTTACATGTGTAGGTGGCGGTCTGTGGTCTGGTCAAATGTGTTTATGATGTATATTGATATAGGAATTATTTCAAAATTTTAGTGGAGCAAAACGTTAGATAAAAGACCAAAGTCTGGACAATATTTATGATTATTAGTACTGAACAAAAGAATTAAGACGAGTGTTTTAACGTTTGATATGATTTGTGTTGACCTTTCAATTTTCTGTGACTAAACTAAGAATATACCTACGCATAGCAAAAACTACATATACATTTGAAATAATGGTCTCCTAGTTAGATAAAACGCATAAAACGAATCAAAAAATCTTATAAAAGTCGAAGTCTTGTAAATATATCATTTTATTTGTTAAACAAAGCACCTACATAATTAGAATAATATAATTATAATCCACGCGAACGAAGCCGGGTGTAAATGACAGTTTATACAAAAGTAGTGAAACATTAATGCCCGATTTCACCAACGTCACCTAAGTTTAAGGGGTCCCCCTAAGCATGGTTAGGGGGCTGTTAGGGGACAGTTTCTGTGTGTGTGTGACAGTTAGGGGTCACCTAAATATTAAAAGGCCCCCTAAATTTAGGTGCTCGAAATATGGGCTTAAAGACGATCGTAAAACGAAATTTAATTAAGGAGCTAGTTTAGGGGACTTTTAACTTAGGGATCCCATACTTAGGTGGTAGCTTATGGGTTGTTGGTGAAATCGGGCATAAGTGCTTTAATGTGGTAGTTTTAGACAATCTAATAAAAATCAACGCGAAATGTAAAGTTAAAAGCGTGCCCGTGACCCGGTCACGACGTATCTAGGGCATTGCACAGGAAGTAATAACGTGCGTTCAGCGTTACAGTTACTAGTTTTAATCATAAGGCTCGATTTTGGTTTTTCCCAACATATCATAATGCGTTCACTTGAAAAACCAAGTGAAGTGGGTGGTAGTTCAAATCCCGGCGCTCGCATCTCTGACATTTTTAATATTTTCAATATTTTGAATAAAAGAAATAATGTCTTATTTATTTTAATAGGTCTCTCTGGAGAGACTATTACAGATTATCTTATATCCTGCAAAAGGAAAGTTTTCCTGTGGGATCTACATTCTTGGTGGAGTGGAAAATAAATAATGTAAATAATTATGTTGGAACATTAAGCCCAGTACCATCCAGTTCCATGGTAAGCTACGAGGCTTGTGTTATGGATACCAGATAGTTGATACACTATACATATATAACTTTAAATACATACATACTATAAATATAAACACACATGACTGGAGTACAAACATTCGTGCTCATCATACAAATGAATGCCCCCAGCGGAACTCGAACCCGTGACCGCTGGCACAGCAATTAGGGTCACTACAAACTGAGCCAAACGTGTTGTCAAAAATAGCCTACTCTTACCATCGAACTAACAAGCATGTGAAAGCTAGTTTTAGTTAAATAACAGAAAATAATTAAAAAGAAGGAAAAAAGAAAATACTAAAAAAGTCTCTAAGAACATATCACTCGCATGAAAAGCAATTACGTATGTCGCTGTAACAAGGCGCACTTCACAGAGCGAAATAAAAGCGGCTCTCCATTTTGAAACTTGATCCTTTATATAGGGTTAGTATGACATTTTCCAAGCTTTTTAACTGCTAGTGCACTTTTTATATGTATATGAATAAATGAAACTTAGAATATGGAAAAATTAGTAGATTTCTAAAGAAATATTATGAAAATTATTTTATATTACACGTGCTCTTGATATTATTGAAAAGGAGCAAGGTTCACTTTATATTTTGTTTTAATATATGTGAAAAGGTTACGTCATATTTATTTTAACACTAGCGACTCAACCTTGCTCCGCTCGGGTTCGTCCGTTTTAACGTTTAGTATAATTTCTCGGAGATGAGATATTTTCCCGCATATTAATTACTCTATAAGTTGACCAATTTCATTAAAATTTGTCCAGTGGTTTATTCGTGATGCGGTCACAGACAGACAGACAGAAATTCTAAAAACTATTCGGCCTCTGTGTCGATAATAATGACTATTTCAATAAGATTTTCGAAAAAATATTTAATGTACATATTCGACTCAGAATTTTATTATGTGTATAGATTATACGTGCTCTTATTATCATTAAAAAGGATTAAGGCATATCCCAGTTACTTTTTTTTATTTTTTTAACACTATACGCGAAAAGGATGTCATATTTATTTTCTATCTACATATTTGTTTGGTCGAAGGCATACCTACTATAAGATATTTCTTTTATTTGAGTCGGGGAATTGTGTAGTAAAAAATTATGTGTAATACAGTAGAACTTCAAAACTTCTCGATAATTTAAAATCAAATCTATACTAATATTATAAATACATAAAATTTGTGAGTTTGTGAATTGTAGTAGACTCATGACGTTCAGTAAAAAATTGTAATAGTTTAATGCTGAATAAAATATTTTGAATTTGAATTTAAATTTGTGAGTTTGTGACGTTGTAGGGGATAATCTCTGGATCTACTGAACTGATTTAGTTGAAATTTGGTAAGAAGATAGTTTGAGACCCTGGCAAGGACATAAGATATTTTATCCCCGAAATCATCCCTAAAGGAGTTGAAAATGGAGATGAAAGTTTGTATGGGGAATCAACTTAGGGACGAACCCGAGCGAAGCGAGGGTGAGTCGCTAGTATTATTATAATTTTAAGTCTTGTATCTATCTAGACTTTTAGAGAGTTTATTCACTACCTAACCAGGATGTACGATGTGTACATTTTATTTAAGTCCAACAAAGTATAGTAAAAACAACTGTCAAAATTTGTAACTTGTGTCGTTTAAATAGAAATCCAACTTTATAAAAACATATCCTTAAAATCTTATGTTATATCGCAAGGCAATTAGCGAGATTTCTTGTACATGTATTATAGTAAAGTAAAAAGTTTATGTATACGTAATTAGAGTCAAAATAAGAATGCATTAAGAAAATTTATTGAATGGATTTAAAGTGAGTTTCCATGTCAGCTACACCTAAAGGAGGGCAATGTAAATAGCGGGTTTTTCAATGCTAGTTGCTACGTAATGAGCCGTCCTTGACCTGCAGCGAAATAGTGCATTTTTATTTGAATCTCTAATATCTTGCATTTTTATAAAGCTATATTACGAATTTTCACGGCGTAAACGTATTGTAGTTGTTTAAATAGAGAATTTTCATTACTATGTAAGTAATAAGCTGTCCTTGGCCTACTGGCGAAATAAAACGCCCTGTAACGAAACTTAGGTAGGTCTTTAATGTTTTCTATTAATTAGAACGTAATAATAGGATGGTAGGTGTGACAGAGCATTAAACATTATGAAATGTTAATAGAATATTTGTTGTTAACATTTCGCGCGTCTGTACTTTTTTATTTTAACCAACTTCAACAAAGAAGAGCTATTTGGATGTATGTTAATTTTTGTGTATCATAAATAAATAAATATATTGGGACATTAACACACAGCGCCGTCTATTTCCATGGTAAGATATGGGGCTTGTATTATGAATACCACTGTGGATAACTTTAAATACATATATGTTAAAAATATAAACATTCATGACTGGAGTATAAACATTCATGCTCATCACACAAATGAATGCCCCCAGCGGGACTCGAACCCGCGATCGCTGGCACAGCAAGTAGCGTCACTACAAACGGAGCCACACGTCGTCATACTGATATCTTTGATTGAGCTTACAAATTGAGCTTCATAATCTTGTTATTGAATACGATGTCAAAAGTCCCATCGTTTTCATACATTCTTCAATCAGTTTATCTTTTGAATTATCAAAAGTAATTATTATTGAAATATGCAAAATTAGTGTATAATTTAGAAGGAAAATTTTATTCACCATACAAATGACAGTTCAAAAAGGTTTGACTTTCAAAACATCGCATCGCAGTTCGTTTATTGTTCTTATTTCTATGGTTTATTTTTTAATATTATTAAGTTAATATATTATTAACAGAAAAAGGTATTTTTTTTAATTGCTTTTTACGATACGTGGTTGTATTTAATACCACGCATAATATAACGCGCTGGCCTTGACCTGCTACTGAGATACGCCCAGATAAACTCTATGTTCAGGGCCGGATTCAAAACTGTATGCCCCAAAGCTATAGGCAAATATATTTTTTTAGTTTTTCGGATTTGTCAGATTTACGGAAACACAAAAATAGGGGTTTTCACAAAAACAAGTTTAGATAACTTTGCGATTTTTTGTTTGCCCTGCTCATGTGGTGCCTCGGAGTTGTAGCTCCGATCGCCCACCTCTAGCTCCGGCTCTGTCACTACTGACGTAATCAAACTTCCCTCTGACAATATCGACTTTACATTTCAATATCATTCATTTATACACGTTCAATTCACGCCTTTATCTTATCCTATATTTTTTACGAATTTATATTGTTAACTCCATTTTCGCTCGTAGCTTGTCTGGTAGATAGCTAAGAAATAACTATATTAGTGAGTCTAGAGTGGGGGTAGGAGGGAGAAAAATACTTTACGACCTATTCTCATACCTACCAAATATACAAAGAAATAATTCAATAAAATCAGTCGAGCCGTTTCGAAGGAGGGCAACCACACGCACTGTGACATCTATACTAACAGTTAAAACGTAGCAAGGCACGCTATATAAATAATACGTATATAAATAAAAATGAATCGCTAAATATGTTGCCAGATAAGTGCCAAACTTGAGAACAACTAGACTAATTTGAGTTTTTTTAATCAAATATTCGCTAGTCCGAGGATGGTTCTCGTGAAGAGAATAATGATTTTTGGTTCCCGACGTTTCGAATGCCATAAAGGCAATTATGGTCACGGGAGAGGCTGTTAGGTTTTATATCTATTACTAGCATTGCCCGCGGCTCTAAAAACAAAATTCTTTTTACATATTAGTATACTCTTACATTACAGTTTTTGTATTTTTTCTCATAGGTGAGATATTTTCCCGCGCTAAAAAGTATCCTATATTGACCTGGATAACCAGCTATCACCATACCGAATTTCATCAAAATCCCTCCAGAGGTTTGTCTGTGATACGTTAACAGACAGACAGACAAAAATTCTAAAAACTATAGATTCGGCCTCTGTAACAATAATTATGTTTATTTCAATAAGATTTTCCAAAAAATATTTAATGTACAGATTGGACTTAGTTACAATTTTATTATATGTATAGATATAGCAAAGAGAAAAAGGGTTTTGACGGACAGACAGACAGACAGATGGTCAACGAAATGACCCTACAAGGTTTCCTTTTTGTCCTTTTGAGGTACTCCTAAAAAGAGCATAGAGGTACATATCTTAAAAAAGAGGTCATTTAGTTGTAATGTAGCTGAGCCTAGGATGGAAATGGAAATTTCAGTACAACTAGATACGGATGTATCATGGAGTGAGCTGCGAGGCATTAGTGAGGATGGTTGACCGAATTGCTTTGGCGTTTGACGTCGCTTTACGAGCGTCTGATATATATACGAGTAAGTGGTTTTATTGCACGTGCGAGTATAATGTGTACAATAAAGGATTGGACGAAAATTGTTAAAATTTTTCTATAGTATCTTTTAGTTTTATGTAACGGAGTGTCCATTCGTTTTTTAAAAGGATGAATAAAAAATATAATTATTCGTTTTTTATAATCTAATTGCGCTCGAGTGCGTTGCTAAGTTTTTAAAAGTAACCTACAGATATGTAACTCCAGATTATTGACGTAAAACTTCTTTCGGCACGTTTGATTTGTGTGTTGTGTAATGCGGGACGAAAAAAATGTACGTACGTTTGTAGCCGTAACTGTTGTTATTGTCTGACAAATGATATATAATATTATATTCTTTCCTTAAATGATATTCTATAAATACGAGTATATGGTTGTAATATGCCTAATATGCGTTATTTTCAGTATCTCACCTTTTTTTTAACGTTGGGAAATGCATTTACGCACGAGGTGTGGGACTCACCGACAAAGCCAGTACTACCCACTAAAACCCAACAAAGCCTTCCCCCGTCTTAATGGGGCGTCGCAGGATCGCTTACGCATTCAACTACGACGCCCCGACGGCAGGTCTGCCGAAGCAGACCACAACAACCACGTGATTGCTCCAAGGTCTACTCTGCTATCAGAGAAGTACCAGGAGCAACCCACATGGTACACCGCCCACCGAAGAGGGTCTCCTCCTACCGCCCACCGAAGTGGGTCACCTCCCTGTGCGTTTCTTGGCTTCGCGCGCGGTTGGGTTGTTGGGTTTTTTAGTATCTCACCTATCCTAATTATTTAAAACATAAATAGAATTTCATAAAGAGCACCGATAACCTAGAGAAGTTTTAATTCTTGCGCGTGTACACATTTATACACGCACTCTTTTAATTATTCTTTCAAGTCAGTCTATCTGCTTTACAGTAGTGTATTTTATCCAAATCTTTTCAAACGTTCCACACACACTCACGCGGGTCCGCGGGCAGCAGCGCGTAGAGGCGCGCGGCGTCCAGCGCGTGGCCGGCGGGCAGCGCCAGCTCCAGCAGCGCCAGCGCCGGCAGCGCGCGCGACCACAGCGCGCACACCTACGCCGGGGGAATGCTTATTTAAAAAAAGCCGACCAACTGCGAGTCGGACTCGCGCACGAAGGGTCCCGTACCATTATCTATGAAAACGGCAAATTAATGATGTCTGTTGTAAGGGAGCGCCCCTTAAATATTTATTTTACTCTGTTTTTTAGTATTTCTTGTTATAGCGGCAACAGAAATACATTATTGATAAAAATTTCAACTGTCTATTACGGTTCATGAGATACAGTCTGGTGGCAGACAGACGGACGAACGGACAGCGGAGTCTTAGTAATAGGGTCCCGTTTTACCCTTTGGGTTCAAAATCCTAAAAAATGGAAAGTCTATGACCTCCCGGTTGGAACGAAATTCCTTTCGCTTTTTGGTTGATTTCATTTATATAATACATGTATTCAGCCCTTTTTATCGTCCCACTGCTGGGCACGGGCCTCCCTTCAGTACGAGGGGAATCAGGCCATAGTCCACCACGCTGGCCAAGTGCGGGTTGGCGGACTTCACATGTCTTTAGAAAACTTGCTAAGTTCTCTCAGACATGCAGGTTTCCTCACGATGTTTTCCTTCATCGTAAGGCAAGTGGTAATCATGTTAGAAATGATTCGCACATGAAAATATCAGAGGTGCGAGACCCGGGATTTGAACCCGCTTCACTCGGTTTCTCAAGCGAGCGCGTTACCACAGGGCTACCACTGCCTTTTATAATGTACAATGTATTAATTATAAAATATCAAATTAATAGAGTTCAATTACAAAATTTACGATAAAATATACTTATTATGTATAAAATAAATTATGATAAGTTAAACACTACATGATCTGGAACAATTAAGTTAATAACAAATAAAAGTTTCTGAAGTGTCTTAATCTTATTTTATTAATATTGTTTTTATTTTAGGAATAAACATTAATAAATTATAATAAAAGTTAATAAAGTCGAAGAGAAGAGAACCGTCGAGTCTTTCGGCACAAGGGTGAGCTGTGTGCTGTATGTATATAGTTCATACACGGCTGAAACCACAGCAAGAAGTGTCGGGAAAAAGTCTTATTACACTTATTTCAATCTCGCTCTCATCCACTCAGAGCGTGTAATGCGCGATAAAAAACTCCGTTCCAAAAATTAAATGCAGTTGTTCTTATTTTTTAAATACATAAAATAATAAAAACTCAAATATTTAAGGTACTTTTTTTCCATATCCCATCAATTAGCACATACCTCGACCACAGCGGCACAGAAGCAGACGTCGGCCGCGCAGTTTAAGACGCCCCGCGGGAGGGCGCGCGCGCGCACGGCCAGCGCGCCGCCCGCCGCCGCGCGCGCCGGCGCCCGCGAGTTGTACGCGCGCGTCATGTGCACCAGCGCGCAGCCCTCGCCTGCACACACGTCATGTTGGGACATAACACACGGCGCCATCTAGTTCCATGGTAAGCTACGAGGCTTGTGGTATGGATACCAGAGTTTGAGAATTTGTAGGGGGTAATCTCTGGATCTACCGAACCGATTTAGGTGAAATTTGGTAAGAAGATAGTTTTAAACAATGGGAAGGACATAGGATTTGACTTTTTATCCCGGAATTCATCCTTTAAGAGGGTGAAAATGGGAATGAAAATTTGTATTTGGAAGCAAGGAACGAACCCGACCGAAACGAGGGTGAGCCGCTAGTTAGGAGATAAAATTCCATCCTGCAAGTTACATATATAGCGCGGCCTTAACAGTTTTCAATTTTAAATTATAATAAAAATCGTACCTCGTATGGAAACATTGAATTGCTGAGAAACATTCATGTCTGTGAACTGGGTGGAGTTCCTTGGTGGTGTCATTTTGGTGAATTTGAAGTTCTCCTTCTGTTCTCCGCTCTCGATAGTGACCGTCGCCACTGCTTTCTTTATAAAATGAGCCCACGCCGATAGACCTTCTTCTGCTATTAGTGTATCCTGAAAGAGAAATGTACTAATATTATTAACTCTCGAATCACTCTTGAATCGCTTGGGTTTCTCCCTATGTAATTGTTTAAATTGATATAAATTTTTTTATGAACCGGTTGAAATAAAACAAATACTAAATGTTAAATGAAGCTTACCGCAATAGATTAGTGAAAACCGCATCCAAATCGGTTTAGTCGTTTCTAATATTAGCGCGAACAAATATACAGACAAAGAGACAAAAAATCTGTTTTGCGTTCTATTGCGTTAATAAAGATCCCCAATAATGGATTCTCTCAAATATTTTCCATGGTCAGAAAACGATTAGTTACACTTTTATTATATGTATAGATCAGGCAGTTTGTTAATTTATTACTGTATTGTTTTGGTAGTATTATACTTATTCCTTTTTATAAAATCCTTTATTAAACAAAAACGAAAAATTGCTTACATAATAAAAATAAAGAAAATCACATTAAATAAATAAAATGACCAAAAAAAAAGGTCCATGGGGTCTCATTGCGGGAGTACTAGTGACGTACCTGCGTGGCGAGGAAGCCGCCGCCGGCGCCGCGCTGCGCCGACAGCCAGCGCACGGCGCCCGCGCCCGCCTGCACGCAGCGCGCGGGGGGCCCGGGGGCCTCACCGTGCGCGGGGGGCCCGGCACGCGCGCAGTGTCGCAGCGACAGCAGCGCGTAGCCCGTCGCCTCTATTGACGTTGCTAGATTACCTGCAATATGAGCTTGCCATTTAAACAATTTAAGTCTAAAATTAAAAATGTAAGTTTTACTTAATAAGGCTTATTAAGTATATTATATACTGTGTGGAATTAATGTCTGTTTGGGTCTGACGTACGATAAATATATAATTATTGTATTACAATATTGTACACAATTATTATTTTAAAAGAGCAACTGTTGAGTTTCTCGCCGGTTCTTCTCAGCAAAACTGCATTCCAAGCCGGTGGTAGCTTCCTCACGGACTGACTACACTGACATTTACTTTTAATTTAAAATGTCAAATTGACGATTCAAAAGAGCTTGTAAAAGTCTATTTGAATAAAGTATATTTTGATTTTCATTTTTCATTTTGAATACTTTCTTAGTTCTTACATTTACGCGAATACTTGACATTTTTTGAAATGAAACTATATTTTAGTTTTTTTTTTATTTTAAATCAAAGAAACCCGATAGGAATACAGTTAGCTACTTGTATATGTTGAGAATTGTTTTTTTTATTTAGACACTATCTATTATTCTACTCTTTAGACCCTATCTCTATAAGCTCTTATAGCACTCGATAAAAGGCTTCAGCCAAATATCCCTATGGATAAAAGTTACCTGTGCGTTACTTTAAGCCAGTATCTATAGTTTATAATAATTTTAATTGCACTGACATTGCAACTGTTATTATTATTATTTTTATTATTAATTGTTTAAAATATCTTTATTTATATTGCATGTGACATTTTATTTGGAAATTTGTCATTACAATTGTTTTTTTTCTCTTTAATAATTTAAGTTTATAGTTTAATTCACATGATCACTTAAAATATTAATTAATAATATAATTATCATGTATCTGTATTTACCTATAATTAAAAGTGCAATTAACATGTTAAGTGTAGTGCCTAGATTATATGTGTTGACCATTGTAACTTTTGTTGGTAATTCAATAAATGAATGAATGAATAAATGAATTTAATTAAAACATTATATATTTACCTGTATCCCACCACACATAACCGTTGTCTTCGGTAGCCATGTGCAAAAATCGATTAAGCATTGCCGTCACTTCTTCTTCCTTTAAATTGTTCATGTTGTTCTTCTCCTCATAAGACTTTAACTTCATATAAGCGTATGTGACTAGTGACAATGGATATACTTTCTTAGATTTTGTGGGAAAAGCTCGGAGACATGTGAGGGCGTTTTGTATGATCTTTGGAGGTAGAGGAGTTTCTAGGAGGGATGTTATGACGTAAGCGGTGAGGGCCACGCTTGATACGTCACCGTCTTCGTTCAGACCTCCCTAGTAAGGAAAATTGTGATATATTAATGAGCTAACATTTTCACATATTTATAGTATAAAAAATTATTATTGTTATAAAAAAAATGAAATTCTAAGATAGATAGATATAATCGAACTTTATTGTCCTTTTTAATTGTCTAAGCGTTTCTCAATGACTATTATGAAAAAATAGTGCCTCAATTTTTTCCTATTTATTAAGTATGCGATTAAAACTTAGTAAACGTTTTAGGCTTCTTCTTTCCGAACTGGTAGTACACTCATGATGTTCAGTAAAAACTGTAATAATTTAATGCTGAATAAAATATTATGAATTTTGAATTCGAACATTAATTAAAATAATTAACATATAAGAAATCTCCTCTTTAACATACACAATACACACCTTAAGATCCGAGTGGAATACATGTCCGTGGTTACGGAAGCAGCCGCTCTCCGTCTGCTGGTCGCGCAGCCAGCGCTCCGCCGCCGCCAGCGCGGGGGGCGGCGGCGCTGACACCACCTGACACATACATACATACATATATGACGACATGTTTGGCTCAGTGTGTAGTGACCCTACTTGCTATGCCAACGGTCGCGGGTTCGAGTCCCGCTGGAGGCATTCATTTATGTGATGAGTACGAATGTTTGTACTCCAGTCATGGGTGTTTATATTTATAATATGTATGTACCCCCGCTACAAAACTTTAGCACACTACATATTTTTCATTACAACTCATAAATAAAAAGAAATTTTTAACTATTCTGTTCTACGATTAAAGATAGTGACTTTTTATTAAAGAGTTGTGATGAAAAATGTGTAGTGTGCTAAAGTTATGTCGCGGGGAGTATATATATATATATATATATATATATATATATATATATATATATATATATGTATATATTCTGCCTTTAATGTCCCACTGCTGAGGGTGGGCCTCCCTTCAATACGTGGGAGATCAGGCCATAGTCCACCACGTTAGCCAAGTGCGGGCGGACTGAGCATATCTCTCGAAAACTTGTTAGAATCCCTCAGACATGCAGGTTTCCTCGCGATGATTTCTTTAACCGTAAGAAGTTGTAATCATGATGAAAATGATTCACACGTGAGAATAGCGGAGGTGTGAGACTCATTATTTCTGTCATCGTGTGAAAGGAGTTCGAAAATTATTATTCTATAAAAGTTGTCATTTTAATTTTGTTTCGATTGAAGCACAATAATTGATTAAAAGATACTTAAACTTAAAGATTCCTTTTTCATTCTCTATTTATAAATGTTTTAGAGCAGCAACATCTTTGATAAATTTAGAACTAAAATAAGATTAAAGCTGGATAATTTCCACCACCGCATAATGAATTCCGCATAATTTTCAATAGAATGATTGAAAAGGTTTCAATAGAAGACAGATTAAATCAAACCTTAAAAGCAGTTCTCAAATATCGCACGCAAAACGCAGTGAGCCATGTCGATGCGGAAGAGTCGGAAGCTCCGAAAGCGCTGAAACCACCCGAAGGATGCACGTATTGTAGCTGGCGGGTTATATCTGGGGAAATGATTTAATATACTTATAAATATAAATATGTTGGGACATTAACACACAGCACCATCTAGTTCAATGGTAAACTACGAGGCTTGTGTTATGGATACCAGATAGTTGATACATTACACAAACATAACTTTAAATACATACATACATATGTATTATAAATATAAACAAACACCCATTTCTGGAGTAGAAACGAGTAGAAACATTCGTGCTCATCACACAAATGAATGCCCCCAGCGGGACTCGAATCCGCGACCGCCGGTACAGTAAGTAGGATCACTACAAACTGAGCCAAATGTGTCGTCAAATGGATAGATTGTGTGAGACAGGAGATGAAAGAGAAAGGAGTGAATGATGAGGTGACGAGCAATAGGGGAGAGTGGAAGATCATGACTTACTGCACCCAAGTAACTTGGGAAATGGGCAGAGAGAAGAAGATATATAATGGCCATTTATCTTCAAATATAGATATCTATAAAAATGGAGTTCAACCATATAACATAAGACGTTCAACATCTCAAGGATTTTTTGTTATAACTCGTCACGCTTACTTTGTTTTTTTTTTATTTACATTAAAAAATATAAATATTTATTTAAAAATAACGACTCACCATCGCTTCGCTCGGGTTCGTCGATACTTACGTTTAACGCTTAGTATAGATTTCTCAGAGATGAGATATTTTCCCGCGGTAAAAAGTATCCTATATCTTGACCCGGATAACCAGCTATCATCATACCAAATTTCATCAAATCTGTCCAGTGGTTTTTTCGTGATGCAGACAAACAGACAAAAATTCTAAAAACTATAGATTCGGAATCTGTATCGATAATAATGTCTATTTCAATTAGATTTTGCAAAAAAAATATTTAATGTACAGATTCGGCTTAATTTTTTGGCCGTCTTAATTTTATTATATGTATAGATATAATTTAATTACATATATTTACCTCTAGTCACCTTCACCTGGGCAGAGATGTGACCCCATGAACTGTTGTCTAACGATTGCAACGAGAGCAAGTTGATGGCGAGACGCGCCATGCTTTGCTCCCCGCAGCCGCCTTGCAGCTGCGCCATGTCCTCGGGCCGCTGCTATATAATAATTATTTAAAGAAATGAGAACTGTTTAATGGTATAGTAGGTAGCATAACTATGTATAGTACGGTTGTAGATTCAACGGTCTTGGGTTCGAGTCCCGGGTGATACAAGTATAGTTATGGAGTTTTTTTTTCTTGGAGAGTAAGAAAAGTCGTATTGTTGTGATTACGCGCATACTGAAGTTATATAGTTGGCTAGTTTCATTGAGATTGTATCTATATAAAACTTTCCTTATACTTTAAACAAAGTAAACAATTTGTACAACAAAATTAAGAAAAGTAGCATAAATAACATATCACGCTACTATCTTGACTTAGAATTTTTTTTGTAAGCTCCGTCTATATGTAAATAGCGACTCATCGAGTTTCGTCTCTAGGTTGATTCTCCATACAAACTTTCATCCCCATTTTCACCCACTTAAGGGATGATTTCCGGGATAAAAACTATTCTATGTCCTTCCTAAAGTCTCAAAAGTTTCGGAGCTTATTCGATACTAACAAACAATCAAACAAACAAAAAATCTTTCCTCTTCATAATATTATTATAGATTCTTTAGTCCGAATTTATTCCTTAGTCGAAGTAGATACTTACATATGAGTCTAACAAAGGTCCGACGACGTTCTCCGCGGCCCACACGGAGACCCTCTCCGTGCCGGGCACGGCCTGCACCGGCGCCCACGACCACGTCACCGCCGATGTACCCTCATTTAAACCGTTTTCCTCTAAAAAATATTAATAATGCTTTAATATTATTGCTACGTTGTATATTTCGTACAAAAACATGTATACGTCTCATCTACACGGTCCTAGCACTGTCATGGTATGAGACGGTGTAGTGGGTAGAGACCTTTAATTTAATTAAATATTGTCTATATAGTTGGTTAAATTTATTCTATTTTTATTTCCAAATTTGTATACCTATGTCAAAATAATGAAAAATAATAATAATAAAAAAATACCTTGATTGTTAAAAGTGTATAATTTATTCTAAAGTAAATTATGATAAGCAAATACCTAGTCAAATAACAATACCTACATAAGGATTGCTAAGTATATATCTATTTGATAATTATCGGATAATTATCTGATAATTATCTTGATAATAATCGTGATAATTATCAAAAGATATATTTATCTTGATAATTTCATATCCTGGTTTATATTTGTATTTAAATTTTATTTACGCTATATGTAACATTTTTTTCTTCGCACTTTCTAGTTGTCCCGCTATTTAACACTATTTCATAATTTCCCACATACATAGGTTGTCTGGAAGTTCACTTTTGTTCACCTACCTACATTACCTACTGTTTTGTGTAATAAAGATTAGGTACGTATATAATATATATTATTTGTAATAATTACCTGGCGCGCAGAGTAGTGCTGACTTGTATTCTCGCTCCGTAACGCCCTCGGGCTTTACCCTTATGACGACTTTTACTTCATCACTGGAATTATAATATTGTCTATAATGTATAGCAGTTTGTGTATTTGTTTGTTTATAAAGTATGCTTTCAAGTGATTTTCATCCTATTGCGATTAATTTTTTAATTTAAAATCCTTGAAATAGACTCTATGAAGTCCACTAAAATTCTTAAATAAAAATTTGAATTACATAATTATATTATTAATTCATAAATTTTTATTCAATAATTATTATAACGCTCTAAATTATAAAAAAAACAAGAAAATAAGATAACACTCATGAAGAGTTACGCAAATTTAAAAAAGTTAATGCTGTTAAATGAGAACCATTTATATATTAGTATTATACAGTAAAAGAATTAAATTAAAAAAACATAAATGCATCGATCAAAAAAGTACTAGATACACAATCAGCCACAAAAAATGTCCTCACTGAATGAGCGCTCATTTGAACATTTGAGCGTACTTTTTTTTTTGTGAAAACAACTTTATGCATTGCATTTAAAGTTCAGCTTACATTGTTGTATATTTCAAGTAGAATAGACACCTAAACACAATTTGTGACAGTTTTAAGAAAACTTTTGCATGGGATTGTGTATCTAGTACTTTTTTGATCGATGCATAAATATGATGTAATATGAAGCTTAAGGAAGGTCAAGTAAAGGTCTGAGAACCCTCGACGAGCGTGTATGAAGAGAATGATGATGGAAGAAGCGAAAGAGATATGCAGAAATCGTAGCGCTCGGCACTCTGTTCTATATCCTTACCCTTCGTGCGTGCGTGGCGTGCGTGCGCGTGTGCTCATAAGCATGAGCGGAAGCGTAAGCATGAGCACGAGCGTGAACATGAGCGTGAACGTAAGCGTAAGCGTGAGCGTGAACGTAAGCGTAAGTTGTTGTGTATGTGGTGTGTAGTGTGTTTGCGTGTGTATTCACATAGAACTTACCTAACGTCTCTCTTCTCGCGACTGCACTTGGCATCGTACACAGTGGTGGCGCGTATGCGCAGGTGTACGAAGCCCGCGTCGGGCGCGGCGAGCTCCCGGCGCGCGGCGCGCGAGGCGCGCGGCGACACGCACACCGTCTCCGAGTGGAGGATTGTGTCCTTTGTTGATATCTTCACCTCAACCTTGTGTTTTAAGGGGTTTTTTAATTTTTATTATATTTTTTTTTAAATTATCTTTTTTTTCATTCAGGTCGTATTCTCTATTTCTGTTACTTAAACTCCGGTAGGACGACAATTTGTAGTGAAACACCGATAACTTCCAACTGTAGACTGTTAATGAGAATTTCTTAACTCAAAAACTCAATTACTAAACTTAGATTTAGGGCTCGAACCCAGGACCTCTATTTCTTAAAATTGCAAGCCCTAGTGGCTTAGACAAACGAGAGTGTCAATGTGCATCTTACGTACGACTTATATTTTAACTGACAAAACCTTTATGTTAATGAATGATAAAAAAACAACATTATATAAAATGTCACAATTCAGTACATATTCAGAAATATAAAATAAGGAACTTACACTTAAAGGCTGGTACAGATAATTAAAAATCCTGTAAGGTATAATGGCGACGTCACCGCGCTTCATTTCTTGAGGGCCACTCGCGTGGATGAAGAACTCGCGGAATACCTGGATGCAATGTACACCAACAAATATAAGTAAAGTGCGAGTCGAACTTATGCACTAGAGTTCTATACCACCACATGATATGTATATTGTTGTTACTTATTTACCAATAAAATAGTTATTGCGAAGTTAAAGCCTCGCTCTTGGCCAGTTTTTTGTTTTTTTTTTTTTACTTTAAAGTACATGAGCTTAATAGGATTCCGTAGGAAATCTTTGAAATCCCCGGATTTAACTACGAGATATTAAACATTATGTTTTGTACACTTAGAAATATTTCTTACCTATCTATACTAATATGTACCATAAAGTGAAAAAAATGTTTTTTGTGTGTTTGTATCAGGTAAACTAATCGCTGAACCGATTTAGATGAAATTTGGTATTTCTCAAGTAAGGGATATAAAAGTCACCATACCTATGTATATGTATATCATATACATGTATTGTGTATATACTAATATAGTCTATCTTATTCCACACTAACAGTTAAAACGTAGCTAAAGACGAACATTTCAATATAGAATAAAAATGAAGAGCATAAAATTTTAAATTAATTGAGCTATAATAAGCAAAATTTCTAGAAAATCTGTTCAGCCACTTAAAAGCTATAAAAGTAAAAAGTTCCAAGCAGATAGACAGAGTTACTTTCACATTTATTATATTAGTTATGGATTAACATTAACATGATCTCTAATTAGATTACAAAGAAATAAATATACAATAATGTAAATTGAACCTTAAAGGCAATGCTTAAAGTTTTAAAAAAAAAAAAATTAAAGTGCGCTTAAATATTCAAATGAGCACTCATTCGGTGAGGACATTTTTTGTCGCTGATTGTGTATTTAGTACTTTTTTGATCGATGATTAATTAGGTACTGAAGACAACACTCTCATTTCGCTCGCGATCATCCCTAGGAAAACTTCTGTTACATACTTATATATGTAGGATTCGGGGATATCAATAAAAGCGTTTAGAACACTAATTACTATTTATTCTTCTAAAATATTATAAAACAATGTTCACGCTTCTCGTCTTATCGTCATTATGACAAAACATCCTTCCTTTCTTTTATTCATCTTTTATTCCATTCCATTCTTAAAATTATATCATACCTCTTCTTTTATTCATAAAATATCATTTCACGCATACTCATCTTGCAAATCCTACATGTATACTTTTGCATACTTAGTTTCACGCCCTCTGATGCTTGATATTGAGAAATGATGGGTTTTATACAATTTTTGTCCGCTTTTAACCCTCTTTAACTTTATTATTTGCGATAAAAGATTATATGTCTTTCTGTAATGTCCAATCTTTTTTTATAGAAAAATTCTTGCAGATAGCTTTATTTATTATTTTAGATTAAGCGTAACAATGAAACAAACTAATAGACAACCAGATACAACTACAATTACTTACTTTCGCATTTATAATACTAGTTTGTACACCAATAAAAAAATGTATGTATTGTTAACGATTTCAAAGTAGGTACATACTTGCACTAATTAAGACAGACAGATTTACTTATACATTTCGGTATATATCATTATATTAATTTGGCTAAAAAATTATTTAAAATATACACATTATACTCTGTACTTGTACCTGTACCACTGGGCTGATTTTGATTATTTTGAAATTTGGTATGATGTTAGCTGGTTATCCGGGTCAATATATAGGATACTTTTTATTGCAAGAAAATATATCATCTCTGAGAAATTTAGATTAAACATTAAAATATAACTAGGGACGAACCCAAGCGGAGTGAGGACGAGTCGCTAGTTTAAAATAATTGTAGATTATTATAAATAAAGCAAACCTGCAGTACAGCGGGCGGCGACACGGCGACGCCGGTGCGCGACAGGCACACGGCCGTCGCCTCGTAGCGCGACACGGCGTCGGGCGCGCGCGCCGTCGCCGCGCCCGCGCCCGCCGCGCCCACCGCCACCAGCTGCCACAACCACGACTGCACGGTGTTATAACTTTGTTACTTTTATAAATGAAGCCATATACAAACAAACAGACAGACAGACAGACAGATACATCGATGAATTTTTAAATTTTATTAAGTTCCCACCACTTAATCCTTCCACGTCTGCGGACACACCGGCGTTACAGGTAACAATAGATTTCTTAGAAATTTAATTAATTTCTTAGAAATTTACCTGGAGGTGTTAATAATATTATTGTACAATAATCGTGAATAAATATTAAACTTATACAAATATGCTTAGTCCACTTACTTCAGAAAAATCACTCCTAGGTACCAGGACATCATCAGCGAGGAGGAGGTTTGGTAACGGGGAACAGCGCTCGGGCGGTGTCGTGGTTAGGACTCGCACTCCAGCAGACGCTAGCCAAAAGGACATCAGTTCTATACCCGTGCTGGGCAAATCTGGGGAGTCTGCGGCTGGAATAAAGGTTATTAATATATTAAAGTGGTGTGTAGCACAGATTTTTTTCAGAAGTTACAGCGGAAAGGAGACAAACACAAATACGCATACACATACACGCACACACGCACGCGCACGCCCACGCACATGCACACGCACACACACACAAACAAAAACAAATTAACATTGACATGAATACTTGCGACCTACCCTTGCTTTGCTCGGGTGCATCCTTATGTACACGGAGTGTGTTCTCAACTTCATGAGTTTTAATTTATTTGTGCGGAACCCTAATTGTTCTTCTAAAATAAAAGTAACTTGTGTTACTTATGTAGTGAAGTTATAATATCGGCGATCTGCCAGTGAAAGTCCGTCGAAATCGGTTCAGCTTTTACAGAGATTAGCCGGATCAAACTGGTAGACAGACACACAGACACCCATTTTAAAAATTGTTTTTTCGTACAAGTACCGTATATAATATCATATGCATTTAATAAAAAGCTTTTATTTTGACATTACAAACAGATACTTCTATTTTATGTATTTATATAGATGTATTAATAATTGTGAAACGCGAAAAATCATTCTATAATAGATAGCACTATTTTAGTCGTCTCAGTGGAACTGTTCCCAATTATACTTACATAAGAAACATTCCGCGGCCGCGTCATGTTCAGTCAAGTTCCTGTGCTCCTGCATGAGGCGGTTCAGTCCATTCAGTATGAGCGTCTTCACGCTGTCCCGCTGCACGCTCCAGGTGGCCGCCGAGTCTATCACGCTGAGGGCGCAGAGCGCGGGCCCGGGGGTGGACACCTGGAGGGTGGCTTTGGAGCCTGGAGGGGTTTGTCGAGACGCCCATGTTATGTCTGCCTGTAAATTACAATAAATATAATTACATGATAGTACCTATGAACACAATTTAAATGTTGATAAGATTTAACGAATATTACTCTATACATATAATAAAATTATAACTAATTCGAATCTGTACATTAAATAATTTTTGGAAAATCTTATTGAAATAGTCATTATTATCGAGGTCGAATCTATAGATTTTAGAATTTTTGTTTGTCTGTCTCTCTGTCTGTCTGTCTGTCTGGAAATGCATCACGAGAAAATCACTGGACTTCGATGAAATTTTGTGAGATGATAGCTAATTATCCGGGTCAACAAATAGGATACTTTTTACTGCGGAAAAATATGTCATCTCTAAGAAATCTATACTAAACGTATACTATTTAAATCAAATGTGAAGTAAATTAAATGTGCTTTAATAAATAATACTATTAAATAAACAATTTTTTATTAAGTTGTCATAAATTAAAAAATATATTTTTTTTGAAATTATTTCATGTGTACATAATATGTAAGTATGCTGTGAGGATTTGTAGTTTCATCTCCATTCAACTTTTTTCGGGGATGAAGTTTCTAAAACCCTACCACCTTTGTTTTGTAAGATTCCTATTATTTTTAAAAATTTCATAACTCAAAGAGTTATTTTTTTATTTTTTATTTTGGTCAGTAATTAGAATAAAACCTCACCTTATTAACGAAACATTCATCCATCCGCATATGTTTGCTGGCTGTCACAATCTCTCCGCCATATTGGAAGTACGCCACAAGATGACTATCCGGACACATTTGCGGAGTCACTTTGACTGGTAGCAGAACTTTGGCTAAGCTTTCCGACTCAATGCCATCGGTTGCGGGTTCTATTCCCGGGCAAGTCGCGTTACGATGTGGCATTATTAAGTACGTATCAGTTTTGGTTGGGCATTGGGTGGTAGCGCCCCAACGGTAGATTATACCTCCTCGAGTTATTACCTGAGAAAGTGATAGGTTATATTTTATCATGGCTTGTTTATTATTTTTGGCTTTCTATTTCATTGCATTTGATTCAACACATTTTATGTGAAATTTTCGGATGCTCGTCAATATTTCAATAATATACACATTTTTATTTTTCTACATTATCATAATTTTAAACTTTGCATATTGTGTTCGTCTTATACGCGTACGCGTAACATTGAGATGATATTATAATAAGTAGTTGTTTTCAAATTAATACAAAATATAATATAATAGTTTATATACCATCAAAGAGCTTTTACTTGGTTGAGAATTTGCTAGTGCGCGCTCACGAGAGATAACGCCTTATAGAGGAAAATGGCAACATAATATGTCAATCCCATAATATAGGGGCAAGAAGAAGAAAAAAAAAAGAAATTCTATATATGTATGACTTGTATGTATATGTCAATTCTATGTAGCAAGAAGAGAAAAAATAAGACAAAAAAAATGTGTATACGCACAAGAAGTAAAGTTTGTGTAGATTATCGGTACTCTTTATGAAATTCAATTTATGTTTTAAATAATTGGGATAGGTGAGATACTAAAAAAAACGTGTGTGTACTTATGTACGCACGTAAGAAGTTATACCTCTTTGGCGTAACAGAACAAAAATAGCTAAAGATTTCGTCCCGTTTGTCACAACACTGTTTATAAAAGGAATGATAAATTTTAATAAAACTAATTAAATAACGCATAATACGTCTATTACAATCATATATTTATAGAATACCATTTAAGGAAAGAAAATAATATTATATTTTGTTTATCAAACAATAACAACGGTTATAATGGCAACAAACGTTCGCCTCGCCCGATCACACTTTTCGTAACGCTCTCGTCAAGCATTCACCAGCTTACCCCCCAAGCGTGCATAAAGAAGTTTTACTTCATAAAGAAATACTAAATATGACATGGATATGTCTATCCCATGTAACAAGAAGAGAAAAAATAAGATAAAGAAACATATAATGTATATAACGAGTGTACTCACAACGAAGTGTACAGTGAGCGCGGCGGTCGCGGCGCGCGGCAGCGACACGTACAGGGGCAGCAGCGTACGCGCGCCCGCGCGCAGTGCACCCAGCGACGCGCGCGCCACGCTACGCCCCGCGCCGCGCGCCCACAGCCGCGCCGACGCGTTGTGCAGCGACGCCTACGGGTTACCATGGAAGTTTGTGAGTTAAAGCCTATACATATAGTAATTAAGGAGTCTGCCCACTACACCGTCTCATACCATGACCGTGCTAGGACCGTGTCAGGCAAAAAAATATGCTTTGTATTGAACAGTATGAGACTCCGCCCACTAGTACGTTCCGTCACCGACCGGCGCCGGCGCGTGCCGTGCACGGAGCGGTAACAATTGTCGGCGACAATATTTTGCCCCGTCTTAATGTGGTCGCAGAATTACGTACTCAATGTTCAAATGTCAGCTATACAAACTAACCTTAAAATTATAAAAAGGGCTCCCATCATCATTAGTTCTGAACATGACTCTTGCAACGCCCTTCTCATCTGTAACTCCTTCGACACAAACACCAGTGTCTGAAGAGTTTGAAGAGTTGAGTGACATGGAATCATGTAAATCTGGAGAACTGGAAACACCCAAGGTAGTTGATTTGTACCGACACACGCGCACCGTCTCGTTGCTTACTGGCTTGTCATCCCAGCGAGTTGCTTTCACCTGGAATTGAATTGAATACAACCAATATTTTGGATAAAAATTTGCTAAAAAATTATATAGATTCCAATGGCTAACTATGTTAAAACTTCATTTTAGTTTAAGGAATTACACAAACTCTAAAATTCTAAGTATTATTTCAAACTTAATATGGGAAAGCTTTAAAATATAGTGTTATATACAATAAAAATCAATTTACATACTTAGAGATCTTTTTCTTCTATTTCAGTACAAAAAAAATACTAAAAAAGGCTATGCTTTATTTATTCATTGGTTGTAGTGTATTCAAGAGCTTTTTTAGTAATTTTCTCATCATCATGCCAATCTCATGATGTACGAGTATATTATTATTGCAAGTTATACAATGGATACCAGACAGTTGATACACTACACATAATATATAAATTTAAATACACACATACATATAACACACAGGAGTACAATCATTCGTGCTCATCACACAAACGAATGTCCCCAGCAGGACTTTTCTTTAAACTCAATCAGACGCCATCTAGTTCTTGAGAAACGCTTTACAAATCAACAACAATGTCAAATATACCAACAAAATTAAGTAAAAGCTAGTAGAAACAAGCAAATAAACATAATTCTATATTATATATTTATATGTATTTACTTTGATCTTGTACGGCAGCCCCGGAGACACGACGGCGTGGTAGCGAGTGAGGAACTCCAGCGCGAAGGGCTCGTCCACCACCTGCGACACCACCGTAGTGTTCTGCCACACCCTTGTGCCCTCTTCCTGGTATACAAGATAAACTTAATAAAAATTTATTTACACGGGGACGATTTTAATGATACATTTTAGGTGTGTAGATACCAAAATGTGCCATTTTGACGTGACTGCTGCGAAAAGTGTCCGAAATCTATATCACTAAGTCGTGCTAAAAAAGTTTTATAACCATAATTAATATTAGTTTTGTACTTGAATATTAAAAAACTAATCACATCTATTCAGACTTGAGAAAAAAATGGTGTATGAAAGTAAGGACAGCATTAGATTTATTTAAAAAATAACAGCCTATATTTTGTATTATACGAAACTTTTATTTATTTCCATTTATTAAGCAATGCACTAACCTGGAAAGAGAAATCAGCAATGACAACATCAGGCGCGGAGTCCCCGTTCAAGCCTATCCGCTTGGCGGCGGCGGCGTGGCGGTGGCACGCGCGGGGCGCCGCCAGCCGCACCGCCGTGCGTATCCCGCCGCGCGCGCCCCCCGCGCCTCCCGCGCCCCGCAGCCGGATAACTAGCATCCCCGCCACTGCTTCCGACCATGGATACCTTTGAGACCATTTAAGTACTACGTAAGAGTTTTAGTAATTTTTAACCCATCCCCCTTGTCATCAATAGTAAGTAAAACTCTTACTCCCCAATTTCGCTTAGGTAATCACTATCCAGAAACAGAACCCCTCCGAAAAATCATAAAAAACTTAAAGAATCCCAAATTGTTCCCAAATTAAAATGAAAAGTGCTAAAATAACTGCTGTATACTGTTCTCATATGGTTATTTGTTATACTTCAGTCCAAAACCGATAAAATTTTCCTATCAGATACAGCTCATTTTAGAGACTAATATAGCGGGTACAAGCAAATGTTTGTAAACGACAATGAAGAAGAAATAATAATAAGTAGAAGATGGGGCGAGTATGATAATAAATCAATTTTTTCTCAGATCATTTTAGAGACTAATATAGTAGGTACAAGCAAATGTTTGTAAACGACAATGAAGAAAAAATGATAATAAGTAGAAGATGGGGCGAGTATGATATAAATCAATTTTTTCTCAGACAAGAAAGAGTGGCTCGATTTCTTTGACGTGGACATAAAAAAAATATTTCACGTAATTCCTAATAAAGCAATAGATTTAACTTAAACCCTTACCTCACACAAACAGTCCAGGCAAGTCTTTCGCTGGTCCTTAATATTTTGGGTGCATGTCGAACAGTCAGTTGGAAAGGCGGTAGCTCGTAGTTACCTACCCAGAAAGCTGCACCACCCTGAAAATATTCCCACGATAGATATGATTTAACTTTTAAGTTAGTTTTTTCTTCTTCTACTATAAAATAATACATATTTGATTAAAATTCAAATAATATATAATTTGATTGTTGACTTATATCATTGTAAAAGACACTGTCAGCAGGTGCAGTACAATTTTTTTTTATTTTCATTTTATAATATTATGTTCACTATAAACAATAGCATTTCCAAGGATGGTTGACATCAGGCAGGCGGCCGGTCGTAAAACTTTTGCCAAATCCTATCAGCATTACAGAAGATGTACTGCGCCGACCCCAAGTGATTGGGAAATTGGCAGGGAGAAGAAGAAGACTATATAATTTTATATATGTATCTACATACGTGTGATCCATCGGCTAGTCTGGCTCTAACACTCCATTTTCCAGGAGGAGATGATTCATAATCCAATTTATGTTCTACTTGCACCAACCCTAGCCGAGTGTGTTTGTTTAACCATTGTTCTATTTTTATCCCGTCCCACGCACCACGTGGTCCTTCAAGCCAGATTTCTTCTATCTAGAAATTAATAATATTTTAAACGTATTATAAATACTCTTTACACTAAACACTTAGCTCGTGGTTACACACACGCGCGCGCGCGCACACACACACACACACGCACATACACACACACACACTCTCATACACAATACACAAACAAATATAGATAGATAGATAGATAGATGCTTTATTGTACACCACAAGTAAATATACAAAAAGAAGATATTAACAATAGATGATGCACAGCAGGCGGCCTTATCGCTATAAGCGATCTCTTCCAGGCAACCTTAGGGCGTAGGAGAAATTATATGAAATGGTAGGCGGTGTACCTACTACACACAATTGCATATCCTAAATACAGATATATATAAATACATACATACATACATACATATATACATACATACATTCATACACAGACATACATACATACATACATACATATATTCATACATACATAAATGCATAAATACAATGCATACATACATAAATGTAGATCAGATGAAAAAGTATAAAAAGTTCAATAGAAGATACTATAGAGACAAATAATATGATTTCAACTGTACCTTAAAATTATCAAAACTTATATATTTACGCTAATTTTTAATTTTTATTTTTTGTTTGTCTTAATTGATCTATTTAAGTTTGTAGTTATCTATATACTTATAATAAATCTGTAGAGAGGTCAATTCTGTAAATGAAATATATTTCCAAAATAACTATCAGGGGGTGATTAGGGATCGATACTGATGCCAAAAATGCAATCAGTAAAATTTTTGTCTGTCTGTCTGTCTGTATAACCGTTATAGAAACAAAAACTACTCGACGGATTTTAACGAAACTTTGTACAATTATTTTTCATACTCCTGAGCTGGTTATAGTATACTTTTCATCACGGTACAATCAATAGGAGCAGAGCAGTGAAGGGAAATGTTGGGAAAACGGGAGAAGTTACTCCATTTTTTAAGCTTCCGTCGCGTGTGCAACCTTAATGGTTAAAGCTACACAGAAATCATGTATGACGGAAATGTTCTCCTTAAAATTATATAAAAAATATCCCACGATAGCATATGTCTATCTTTTATGGTTGACTCACAATAACACGTGTAACTCCCGATAGCTTAGCAGTTCGAAGCTTTCTGATTTATATTTGTCTACTCTTACGTTTATAACACTCTCAGTCATCCCTAATTAAAAAAGTTAACATTATAAACTATTCCATAAAAAAGAATCATAGAAATCGGTATAGAAACACCAAAGTTATACATGAAATACGCTAATAATAAGCCATCGCGAGTCAGGGGGATGTAAGAAGACAAATAGAACAAATCCAGACTTTTTTCAATTTTTTTGTTTCTCTGTCTGTTTGTCTGTTTGTACGGGCTAATCTCCGAATCTATTGGACCGATTTAAATGAAATTTTGCATGGTGGTACCTTATATCTCCGGACAACGTCTTAGATATTTTTTATCCCGGAAAATATAATGGTTCCCGTGGGATAGTTAACTATTATAACTTATACAACTATTATAACTTATACAACTTATGCACCTAATTTAGTAAAATTTAACATTCTGATACCTTATATTGCCGGTCAAACAACCGGTTACTTTTCATCCGGGAAAAATGAACGGTTCCCGTGGGAACTAATAGATTCTATTAGTGTTTTTCTAGAGGCGAACCCGAGCGAAGCGTGGGTGAGCCGCTAGTTACCCATAATATTATAATCAGCTAAAAGATAAAATTACGTTTTTATGAAAGGGCGGGGTCTCCTAATACAGGCAAATTATTTGCTTAAAAGGGGATCTCAACCACAAAATTTGAAATTTTGATTTGATTTGAAATAAATAAATAAATAAATTTTAAATTAATCAATTAATTATATGTTAATTTTTATTTCAAATGTAAATGTATATTGTTACCTAATTTATAGTTTTTATTGTTGTTGTGTTATAATAAATAATAAAATAAATAAATTTTGTATGTGATAATAGCTGTCTTTCTTTCAAATCTTACAACATTATAAACGTGATTAAATCACATGTTCATAGTTAAAATGAAGTTCAGCAAGCAGGGAGTTACATGATAGTGTATAGGGTATAGTGTATATACCTACATGTCAAATTAAGTATCGAAATTATTTCAGATAGATTACGAAATACCATGACCATTGTTGACCGACTTAAATAAAGTATGTGTAAAAATGTCATTTGATGGATTTTTTATCTGTAGGAAATAATTATTAATTATAATTTACATAGGCATAATACTACTACGCTTACGCTTTAAATGATACGCTTTAAATGATACCTAATACTGAAAGTAAAAAAATGGAGTACTTATATCAGTGCTCCTTGTAAGGATGTCAGATAGACATACTTGTACTGATAAAAAATTGTTAATATTAAGCATTAGGCTTATCAAAAGCAATTACGTGATGAATCTAACAATAAATAGTTTTATGCTGCATCATAAAATAAAAATATTTATAAAAAGATTTATTTTTGTTTTTGTCGTATTCTATCGGTCCTAGATAGTTTCCGGTTCATGTCGCGATAAATTTTATAAATATTATAATAAATAAAGGACAAATAAGCATTTAAACATTTCTTAGAGAAATAAAAAACTAAACAACTCAATTTTAGCTAATTAAAGTTTATGGGAGTCGTCAATACTAATCATGTCAGCCCGAACTCGAGGGCATTACTAGTAGGCTCTGAAGATTATCCACCTCCTAGCTCCTGCTTAAAAATCTGTCCAATGGTTTTTTCGTGATGTGTTCCCAGACAGACAGACAAAAATCCTAAAAACTATAGATGCGGCCTCTATATCGATAATAATGACATTTTCAAAAAGATTTTCCAAAATATATTTAATGTACAAATTCGACTCAGTTAAAATTTTTATTATATATATAATACCTATATATATGAATACCTATAACAAACAATGCAGTAATAAACTAACAAGTGAAAGTGTCAGGAAGATTCGCCAGAGCAACTAGGCTTGAGTTTAGATCGGTCAAGGGTCTTCACCGTACGCTCTCAGTGTTCTACGTGTGCTTGCTTGCATGTCCTTATATATTGTAGGATTATATTTATAACATTTTATATAAAAAAACTTACTTTAATGTTTTCTACATGCTTGTTAATTTAAATATCTCATTAGTGAAACATTTTCTTATATCATTTCCACCCGAGAGTTAAAGTATAAATAAACATAGTGACAGACATATAACTTTTTTAATAGAGAATATGCTTGTGATTTAAATAAAGGTGAAATATATTTTTTTATAAACTTTACTACTTTTGAATTAAGCCTATGTCAAAATGCAAATATAGGTGGGAAATTCAAAGTAGTAGAAACGAACGCTATTGGTCAGATCGAATATGACGTCAGAGTATGTATATCATAAAAGAGCGATTAGCGATTTTGTTGCTACTTTAGTAGTCATATTTTTGTGACATCACGCCGATCGCACGAAATGGCAAACATTTAAAGTATTTGTATCGGTCTGATATTTTAATTTTTTTATACTTAATTTTAGTTTTTTTGGAGGATTTTTTCACAGTTAATAACGAAGTAGGCTATTATATAAAAATTAAAAAAATGCACACATTTTCCCTATTCTTCTTTAGGCTTTGAGCGCTGTAAGTATCCATATGAGTAGCCATTTTGATTTCGACAGATAAATACCTGCTTAGTATTTACAACTATAGATAATTTTACTTGAAAGAAGTTAGCGCCTTTTGTTAATAAGTCATAAAAGAATATATATATATATATATATATATATATATATATATATATATATATACAGTCGAATTGGGAACTTCCTCCTTTTTTGAAGCCGAATAATAAAAATCGTGAAATCACTATTTTTTATATAAGTGAAATAGCGATGGCTTAACTTAATTGTGACGTAAATATTTTACTCTAGACTAGCGACTCACCCTTGCTTCGCTCGGGTTCGTTCCCTAGATTGATTCCCCATACAAATTTTAATCCCCATTTTCACCCTTAAGAGATGATTTTCTGGATAAAAAGTATTCTATGTCCTTTCCAGGATCTCAAACTATCTTCTTACAAAATTTCATTTAAATCAGTTCAGTAGATCCAGAGATTACCCCCTACAACCTCACAATCTCACAAACTTTACCTCTTTATAATATTAGTATAGATTCTATCCTCAATTCAGAGCACGTATCGATGTTATTGGGAGCGTTTGCTCTGCGGTAAATAAAAAAAGTGAGTTGTACTTAATTACATTTAAAACATGTCATTTTTTATAATAACCACAAAGAGAGAAATTCGATTTGCATACTCGTCTGTTTAAGTAAATAAACAATCGTATTGGAAACTGTGTCAGTGTTCCGCTGACACTATATTTATGAGAATTAAATGCTGCAGACAGTTGACGAAAATTAGACATTAAATCAAATTTCTATTAAAGAGAAATAATGTATTAAACTAGGTTTAGATTATTTCAATTAATTTTCAGATTATTATTATAAGTAAATCCTGTAGAGAAAGTGTTAAAGTGGAGATTAGCCTAAATTTCTGGAAAGTAGCAACTTACGTCTAAATCTTCAGTACAAATGGTAGTTAGATTTGACAATGGCTCATCGAAAGGTAAATGCCAACATTTGACTACGGAAAGAGACTAATGCCCCATTTCACCAACGTCACCTAAGTTTAAGGGATCCCCTAAGCATGGTTAGGGGGCTGTTAGGGGACAGTTTCTGTTTCACCGACAGTTAGGGGTCACCTAAATATTAAAAGGCCCCCTAAATTTAGGTGCTCGAAATGTGGGCATAAAGACGATCGTAAAACGAAATTTAATTTAGGGCTAGTTTAGGGGACTTTTAAGCTAGGGATCCCATACTTAGTTGGTAGCTTATGGGTTGTTGGTGAAATCGGACATAAGAGTTCGATTTCCGCTTAAGGTTAAATATTGATAGGCATCATTTTTATATACATATTTGTATTTAATCCGCAACATATGAACCCATTTTATATAGAAGGTTTCAAAATGGAAAGTGCTTTTGATCTGATATTCTCACCGATATATTGAGGAATGTCTGAGAGAGCCTAACTAGTTTTCAAACGATATGTGAAGTCCACCAATCAGCACTTGGTCATGGTGGTGGACTATGGCCTTATCGCCCTCACTTTGAAGGGAGGCCCTGACATAATTATATAGGTTTACATTCGATTACAATATAAGAATAAATACTTACATTCGTCGGTGAAGGAGTAAGATCAGCTTTTAAGACAATAGCTCGAATATGTATCTTATCGCCAGGACGATATCGGGCCCGATCTGTATGGATAATCACTATCCTACCACTTGCTATCCGGATGGGTATTTTACGTTCCCATGTGCATTGTGCTTCTGGATACCTGGAATTAATGATTAAACATTTTTTAAACAAATTCAAAGATTTAATTGGTACTGTTCTAACCTAAATTGCTTAAAGTGAGTAAGTGTGAAATTGTCACATTGTAAATCGCATCACGTTATTGCCTCTACTTAGTAGAAAAAAGATACAGATATCGAAATTTAAAAAATAAATAAAGTTAAATAATTAATATTATTAATAATTGTGATAGTTCACGGAGATATACTTAAAAAATTACTCGAAAACCTCTTCCTATGATTTTTTAACACAATTTTATCATAATTTTTAGTTATTATTTTCAGTCTAACCTATACCTGGTATAAAATAACATATGTCAATATATATAACTGCTCAAACTTACCAAATGTTAACAATAAGTTCTGCTTTTGCATTTGGTTGCGGTGGAACTGATATATCTATGCATCCCCCATCTCCTTAAAAGTAAAAAATAATAAAAATTATATATACACTTATTATATGTACATAGCAGCAGTTAAAACTTTGTTACTTTTAACTGAAATGCTTAATAAAACTATAACTATAAGCATTATTTTTAACTTCCCCTCAATAAACAATAACAGAAAAAATCTGTTCACTTTTCAGTATGGTCTCTGACTGCCAGTATACTGGATAGCGTTTAACTTAACCCAGTAACTTAGTTCAGTGGCACCCAATATCAGGGAAAGCGACATGAGCATTTACACTGTGAGGAAATCAAACCCGCGACCTTAGGTTAGGTAAGAATTCGAAGTAAGTTAAGTATAGAACTTAGCGCTGTAAAGCTTCAAGTACTATATTCAAAATATACCTGGTGCTAACTCCCTGGACGCAGTTACATTTTGTTTTTCCGTCACAAGTGTGAGGACCACATTCGCTTGGCCCTCAGTATGGAACCTGGAGATACAGGACCTGCTTGTACCACCAGCTGTCAGCACTCCTGGTGCTAAGAATATGTGATTGCTGTCTGTGCATGGTGAACTGGGAGAAAAAAATTCCATTAATACTTCTTTGTACGAGATACGTTTATTAAAAAAAAAAGAAAAGCTAAGCCCAAATTGATAGTTAGGATAGACTAACAGACAAACTTTGTATTAGTGAAGGAGTTTTGTACAATAGGTTCAGTTAAAGAGTTAATTCGCTACAAAAAAATATAACAAATAATAAGACTTATAAGTGTTGTATATATGTAATATAACAAGATTTTTGAATTGTATAGTATTTTTGCCAAAGAACGACTTTAAAAATCTAAACGAAATTCCAATAATGTGTTAATTTTTTTTATCTCTATGTTATTTTGGTGACAATTGAAAACTACAACTTGTGCGAGTGAAAAGCGCAGGTAGCGAAGCGTATACACAAATATGTCGTGTATGCGAGCTATAAAATGATTGATAAAATTCAATTAACAATTTGCAGTCGGAATTAGATTTCTTCTGTCAATTTTAAGTAATTAATGTGTTATTTAAAATTCTTTGTCATTTGAGCCTTATTCAATAGATATGTTTTAACGGTTAGTATAGATTTCTCAGAGATGAGATATTTTCCCGCAATAAAACGTATCCTATATGTTGAGTCTTTCCGTATAGTAAGTCTCAGTAACAGCCCGGAGTTGAGAAGTTGGTGGTGTTTCACCCCCGTGCCTCGGAGAGCACGTAAAGCCGTCGGTCCTGCGCCTTAACTCTCACCGGTCGTGTCGAGCAGTCGTCCCACTGGAGTATGAGAATGACAGGAATAGAGAGTGCACTTGTGTCTGCGCGTACACTTGTGCACTATAATTACTCCTGCGCAGTTGGCTAGTCTTAATGAGTTTGGCCGCCGTAGCCGGAATCGGCTAGGAGAACATCACATCATACCAAATTTCATCTTAAATCCTTTTCTCGTGATGCGTTCCCAGACAGACAAACGTCTCATTAGCGTTTGGCAGTTAAGACGGACGCGTAGCCAAAGAACGCACTGGAAGGTGGCCTACTTCGGTGTGCAGTGTACTATGCGGGCTGCTCCTGGTACTTCTCTGACGGCAGAGTGGACCGTTGAAGCAACCCCAAGGTTATTGTGATCTGCTTCGGCAGAGCTGCCGTCGGGGCGTAGTGGTTAAGTGCGTAAGCGATCCTGCGACGCCCCATTAAGATGGGGGAGGTTTTGTTGGGTTTTTCGTACCCTGGCTTTGTCGGTGAGTCATACATAACCACCTGTATGTCTGCAGGTGGTATGCGTAAATGCATTTCCCAACATTAAGAAAATCAGTTTGACTCGCAAACTGAATGTTCCGCAGCATCATACATTTTTGTGTTGATTTTGTTTATTTAATTTATTCTATTAAAAGTGAAATAAAATACTTTTCCCAATCTAAAACGTTCATTTTATTAAAAACATTCATAAAATATTTTGAAAAAGTAAGTTATAAACATTCCTCTAAAGCTAAACCAATTTCATTGAAGTTATTTGATAGTCTATCTACTACAAATAGTTTTAGGATTTTCTGTAGGTAGGTACATGTTTTAAGAGGTAGGGGAGCGAATACCATGTTTCAACTAGGAAAAGCAGATAATTAACTGTTTTAAAAAAAGTGAGAGTGAAAAGTGTCCCACACTTAGATTTTACGACTTTAGTAAAGAAATAACTTTTTTTTAATACTTTGTGGGTCAAAGCCGACATGCAAATGCTTAACAAGGTCTCATATGTTTACTGTTCCCTCGTTTTGGAGGTCAGAAATGAAATTGAGGATCTGCAAAGACGGTTTAGAGGTCAGAGGTAAGAATGTGGAACTTTACTACATGAGTAAGACAAGAGGCACTTTTGTGGTAAAATATTTGTTTTGTAATCTTTTATTGTCTGCAAATTTTTATCCTTTAATTATTATCTAAAGACATTTAGATTAAAAATTTGGTACCTGGGCGACTGAACTTCGCTCGACTTTTTTGGTAAAGATAAAAAATGCGTTTTTTTTAAACTAAAAAGTATCCTAAATGTTGACCCGGATAACTAACCAGCTATCACCATACCAAATTTCATCAAAATCCGTCCTGTGGTTTTCTCGTGATGCGTTCCCTCCCAGACAGATAGACAGACAGATAAACAAACTGACAAAAATTGTAAAAACTATAGATTCAGACTACGTATCGCTAATAATGACTATCTCAATAAAACTCGAGCGCGTCAGATTAAGGTAGGGTGAGTTAATTACATCCTAAAAAGTGTATATTCCACTAATCTGACAATTTGAGAGTGACGTAAAAAAAGGGGAGGGCAACAAAGTTGTAAAAAAAAATGTTATCTCGACATTCTCGAGCGTAGCTAAATTTTTTTTTATTTTGAAGGAAATAATGCAAGAATAATGAAAAATATATGATAGATTTTAAAAAATTTTGAATAATCTCAAAAAAAATAAGATTTTTTTTTTCAAAGTGGTTTTTTTGGAATAACTTTTAATCGGCTTTATCAATTAACTTCAAAAACTAATCCACCCTTAAGCTAGAAAAACCACGCCGATCGTCGCTAATCCGGTCAAAATCGGTTGATTCGTTCGAGAGATATCGTCCGAAAAAAAGTGTTTTTTCGGGATTACTCCGAAATTTTTGGTTCGATCAATTAAAACCTGAAAATAACTTATGAGGATGATAAAACTGCGTCGAATGCCGTCAGCCGCGTGAAAATTGCTTGATCTATTCAAAAGTTATTGCGGTTTGAAAATTCCAAAAATAGTGTTCTATGAAACTTCTATCAGACTTTCGAGCTGGGAGAGCTCAAATGCATAGAAATATTATTTCATAATATCACATAAATTATATTTTGAGCTCAAAAATGCCATAAGTACAATTTTAAGCGCACTAATTTTTTTGTCAGATCAGGCGAATCCCTCTAGATAATCGTCAGATTATGAGACAGTACGTTTAGAACATAAAGATGAACCATATATATCTTAATGAGTATTTCAAAATGGCGATTTTTTTAACACTCCCTTAGAAAATCTGACGCGCTCGATTAAATTTTTTTTTTGACGCGCTCGAGGATGTCTATGCAACAGTTTTTTACATATTTAAAAATCTATAGTCCCAATAGGTCTCTACGACGCTCGAGTAAATCCCCATTTAGCTTCGTGGGCTCCCCTACCATAGATAGATGTGAAATAATGGGAATGATTAACTAATATGACACCGTGATGTCGTATTGTTACAAGTGTCAACTGTCAATAGATAAGGTGTGAAAGTCGTCTTTATGGCACACTTTCTTGCCTACGGGTTTAAACATGTTATTTTGGACGACGTAATAACTACCTGTTCCTTAAAACATTGTTATAGATGCGATTGCAGAACTCCTAAAATCACATATCGAAACCTATATATCTGACCTATGGCTTGATGATAATGTGAGAAGATACTTATCAATGTATGATATTGAAGATAGCCGTGAGTAAAAGAACAATTTTCAGAAAGAAACTGTCGATACAAGAACAATTCTGGATTTATTATAACTAGAATTTTCCTTAGGTTTTTGATACCAGGGACTTTCCTTCCGAGGTGATCCGTTCGGGTGCATCCCTAGGGGTTGTTTTTGTCTTACATTCAAATCAACTGTCACTCTTCTTCCGATTTTCATTAAAGTTATTTAATTTTTGACAGTAAACGCAATTTTATCGGGATAAAAAATAGCCTAGAGCATTAGGCAGTAATGTAAGTTCCAATATGTTAATGAAACAATTTTTGATTCGGATCAGTAGTTTCAGAATAGAATTTTAATTCTTTATAATACTCACCCTCGCTTTGCTCGGGTTTGTCGCTATGTACGTTTTAAATATATATAAATAGTTATTACCCAGCGTTAGCCATATACATTTTAATATGGTTGTTAAGTAGTCTTAAATAAGTATTCTTAATTTTTATAATTTCTTATTTATTTTCTTTCATAAGAAGCTTCTCCTGACAATAACAAACACAAAAAAAAAATAGTTCAACCGGTCCAGTCGTTCACGCGATGGCGTGATATATAGATTACTTAAAGCAGATGTAAAAGATATTGTTTGTCGATGAGTCAGTATCAGTTTGAGTTTATCACTGAATAATAGTGATTTAGATAAAATACGAAGAAGTGAAGTGAAGTGGGAATGGTACTGCTGTGACTAAAAAATGGTGTTGGAACTATAATAAGGGTCTATCGTGAACGCTATAGCAAAACATCATCTAACTTACAAGTGACTGGTTTTTTTTCTTATCTACAATCCAAACTTGTAAAAATATGAAAGTTGTGTTTTCCACCAACTAGGAGAGTGAATGACCGCTTGGATTTTTTATACATTTCGTAAGATGTCTTTTTGAAATTAAATAAAATCTTGTTTAGATGGGACTTATGGCTATGTAGACAGTAAAAGTAGAAGACCGTGTGGTTATGGTATTTTAAGAAGGTCTCAGGAGTTTTAAATATGACCTTAATAAATAATAAAATTAATGTCTTAAAAGTGATTACATGTTTTACGTAGGTATGTTTTGCAGAAACTATATAATACCTATAATAACGCTTACGCGTATAAATATAGTGTAGTTATGTGGAACATATCGGCTAGGAAAATCAGTACAACACACTAAAACCCACTTACGATACACGGCGGCAGGCCTGCCGACCAAAACAACCAGGAGGTTACTCCACCTTTTTTTTTTTAACGTTGGGAAATGCATTTACGCACGCGGTGTGGGACTCACCGGCAAAACCAGTACTACCCACTAAAACCTAACAAAGCCTTCCCCCGTCTTAATGGAGCGTCGCAGGATCGCTTACGCATTCAACTACGACGCCCCGACGGCAGGTCTGCGCAATGTAGACCACAACAACCACGGGGTTGCTCCAAGGTCCACTGTGCTATCAGAGAAGTACCAGGAGCAACCCGCATGGTACACCGCCCTCCGATGAGGGCCACCTCCCTGTGCGTTTCTTGGCTTCGCGCCCGGTTGGGTTGCCGGGCACTACTGAGCCCCCCCACCACGACA